TTATCTCTCTGTGTCTCCATGTAAAAGTATTCATTTTTTTTTTCTCTCCTCTAACTGCTTGCAAAACTTAATTGGAATTTTCTTCCGGTGTTTCTTTCAATTTGAAATATGAATGTCATAAAAAAACTGTACAACTGGATTCAAATAATCTTAATTGAGCTGAATGTTGATATTAGCGCGAAGTAAACGAATAATTATTTTCTCCTAATTGTGTTTCGATTTTTTTTCGGTCAACAGAAATCAACATTTTTGATTAATCTTTAGACAATAATTTATGTTTTAAAATTATTCCAAGGTTCAACATATCTGAGTCGAAGTAAAGTTCAATCGGTGTGTCTTTGTCTCTCAGAATTCATTGAAAACACCAAAACAAAGCAGCCGCGTCTGTTCTTTTCTCTCATGTTCTTGCCGTAAAACATCGAAATAATATAGCATATGTTGTTGCATAACAGATTACGTTCTCATTCTTCTATGCCATTGATGCATTCTTTTCGATAGTTCAAGAATGCTGGCGGGACCGAAAAGATATTTTGTCCGAAATCAGATTCAACGGCATTTGCCGTGGCATTAATATGAACTGCTGATATATCCGATAACGGTCGATCGTAAATTCCAACCTGAGGAAGGTGATGGTGTTCCGCGAAAATTGAAGAAAAAATATGCGTGCCACTTTAATGATTGCTCGCTATATGATCCTTTTCGTCTTTTTCCAGTGCCTTTGCCATACAATCTAATTGTTCTCATTATCGTTGCATCTCCTTTCGAGACTAAGTGTCTTGTCTATTGAGAAGAAGAAAAAAATCAAAGAGTTGAAGAAGAAGGCGGAATTTTTTTTTTGCAAGAGAGAAGAAAAAAAAAAAATAATGACAATAGTACGTAGATGAACTGAGAGAATGTCAGATCTCTTTGAAAAAGATATTTACTATAGCCATAAACACAAACATCAATGGCTTTTGTAGAAGCAATAAAAATACACACATACACATACAGACCAAACATAATCAATTGCGTATTCCTTTGATAAAGTTATTTCTTTCCAGAATTACATTTACGCATTCTTCATAGCCGTTTTGCATATCACCGTAGTGTGTGCGTCGGTCTGATTTGATTTTTCAATGAATTTTACTGGAGTAAACAGATTTGGTGTTTGTAGCCCCTTTTTTATTTGTCTAAATTTGTTTATTTATTTTTTGTTCATACAAAATGTTTTAGAAATGCCGTCCGATTTGTTATTGAATCTTATCGGATTGTCCATTTGAATTCAGTGCTAGAAATAAGAGAAAAATAGACAAATTACAAAACAATTTTTGTGTTGATAAGCAAAGCACAAAGTTCTTTTTATAGAATCAACGTTTCATGCATAGCTTATTTTGTTGGAATATAGAGTGGCAAATTAGAATTGAAAATCACTTACGCTAACACCTTATTATCACACATCACAGTTTTTGCTTGAAACTCTATCTGATTCAATACGGGACATTCAATGGCACATTTTTTTGTAAATGTTGAAAGTTTATTCACCACCAATTTCCAAATGAAATTTTATCAAAACCAAAAGTTTTAAACAACATTCTTGACCGGATGAGATGGTTCATTCGTGCCTAGAAATAGAAGAAAATTACAAAACAATTCCGTTGATTTTTTTTATTCGGCACAACGGTGCTTCGTGTGTGTGTCGGATAATTCAATGGTGAATTCCTTTTTTTTTGAATGAGATATATGCCATAAATGGTAATTCATTTTCGACAAACATATTGAATCAATGGGTACAAACGAACACACTGAACCAATGGGCCAATAAAAATATCTGAATATATGAAAAAAAAAGTCGTCGTGTACATCATTTATGTTTTGCCAAATAGGCGATTTGTTTTGTTGATTTTTTCATGTGAGGCAAGAGAAGTGTGTAGAATAAGTTTGGCAATTGTTTCGGGTGCCTTTTTGCATGGCATCATTTTTTTCTCTCGATGTTTTGTTATTTGGTTCTGTGGCTGCTTAAAATTCATTTCAAAAATTATAAATGAGAAAAATATACACGATAGCATTTTTAGTGCAGAGCAACAAGATGAATACAAAAAGAAACCGTAACAACAACAGAATGAACGTACGAAATTACGACGAACACAAGAATAAGATTTATTTGAAAAATACTTTAAGCGCATTAATTTTGTTGATTTGTTAGAACACCGTACATGTGTGATGTGAAATGAGAAGCAAACATTGGGTGATCGCCGAAGAGCACAAAAAGCTTATTATGTGTTTTGGTTTCGAATGCTCGAAGAATAATATACTATTATTGCTGTTTGGTTGATGTCAGCTCACATTTGTTATCGAATCTAACGATGGCAACAACGAAGACATTAAACCGCTCACGACGACAACGATTATGTTTGGCCGTTGGAATCGATTTTCCGGCACAAAAATGCATTTGAAAATACCGTAAATGCATAAACCATCCATATACACTTGGTTCGTGTCACTTGATTTACAATCACACATTTGCATTTGAATAATCTGTATCTCTCGCTCTCTTCTCTGTCGCTTGTCTCTGTCCATTCAGAAATAATTAATCGAATCCTATTACAATATACCGCGGACGCTTGCAATGACTCTTTTCATCGGACCGTTTTCATAAGCTAAATGGTCAATTGTCAAATTAACAAACATCAACCGAATGCGCTGAGAAAAGGGAGAAAAAAAAGAAATAGAAAAGAAACAAGAAGATGAAAGAGAAAAAAAAACATCACCGAATGCAATGCATTTTCTCAATGAGTTTTGAAACGATGAATGCATACACACGAACAGGCGACACAGATAAATTATTTGCTATCTATTATGGATGAGATTTGAATAGTTTCGAAGAAAAGACGAAAAAAAAAAACCACCAGATTGTTGAAGATCGCTTTGGCCGTGGAACGGAAACGCATTTGCAAGAAAAACAGACCACAAAACGATGAATAACAACGAAAAAAATGTATATAGTATAATGATAATCCGTACAGTTGAATTTCTATGCATAATGGCAACGACTAAAAACTAAAAACGGCACGGACATGGAAAAAGCGTGCAATCAAAACCATATTCAAGCATCAAAACAAAACTGAAGAAAATGCGCAATGCAATGAAAATTTTAAACGAAAAGACACAAAAAATACAACAACAACGTTTCACTTTAATTGCCTTGTACGATTGTGTATCTTTTGTCATGATGTTGACATTTTATGCATACGCTCCATTGCGAATGATGCATCGTTTTCCGTTTGTCCGAATAATAAATACGATTTCACAATTGTGCTTAGGCAAACGTGCGTCTAATCTATTCACCGGAAAAAAACACACACTCGCACACATTCAGATATTCCAGTAATTGCAATCGCGGTTGCTTTACTTAACAAATGGTTTTGTAAGTTCCGTTCGATACATTGTTCGAATAGTTAAGTTTTCAATTGTTGGCCGATCGCGAATTTAAATCAGCACACAAAACGTTCCATCAACTGTCAATCGTCATTAGTAGCTATTTTCAACTTATGCAATTGACCATTAAATATGTTCTAAAGTCTAATTATCATTTTTTTTTGTTGTGGTCGTCGTCGATATTGTCAGTAGTTTATTAGGATCGCGCACATTCGCCACGACACACGATTAATGAACATAGAAACTCTTTCTTTTTCAATGTGCTCCAAAGCGATCGACCGCTGGAAGATGATCACAGTAAATAGAAAATAAAAGCACACCGAATTAACCAGAGAGTGGAAGAAACAAAATAAAAAAATGGCAACATACACGAAACGAAATCCAAACCTCGGATCTAAATCACGATTTCGGTGAACGACACACGGACCAAATAAATAAGTTTACAATCGATTGCAACTATTTAAGGGATTTTGAAATGGCTCGTCTCTCGTCGCTTTTTTTTGTTTCTATTTCATTGCAGACGACCAATCGAGTTAGAGTGTGCGCGCACAAATGAGCGCGTGCGCATGTTTATTTGCGATTGTGTCTTATTCCATTCGGTTGGAATCAATTGCGCTCATACCAGCGATCAAATTAAATAGCACACAAAGCATTTAAAAACGAAAACTGCCTCAACAGAGAGACAGAGAGAAAAAAAGAGATGTAAACGGAAAAATATTCATATCGTCATCTGTCGCGCCATTATTGTCTATTCAGTTCTCATAGAGTGATCTTGCATATATACATATATGCACACTGCAACTGTGACCGACCAGCGATTACATTTAAATGCAATCGGTAAATTCGATGAGAGACAGAGAACGAGAGCCAAAAAAACAACAACAACAACATTCATTCAAAGAGTTAGTCATGCATCCGTATTAAACAAATGAAAATAAGGCGCATACACTCCAGCCACATTTGGTTTGATGGCATGTCTCTCTTTCACTCCCTGTACCCGCAACCGATGAACATAAAACAAACATCTCTCACAGTGGCATTGATTCATGCTGATAAAAATGATGTTGAAAGTATTATTTATTCGTCGCGTTTTGTTTTGTATATGCCCCGAAGATGGCATCTTCTCTATTTTACTCTCATCTCAATGCTCTTTACGGGCCAATTCTACTCTGGCATAATTTAATTCTAGATTCACTTCATTTTGTCATCGATTTCGTGTGTTTTTGTTTTTCCATTTCCTCTTTGACGTAAATTTTTGTGTGTGTGTGTGTGTGTGCGCGCGCTCTCTCGAGCACATTACATTATCAGCACGTCGAAATGTGAAGAAACACACAAACACACATATATAGACATTGCAATGGAAAACTTATCAAGATTCATGATTCGTGATCAGCACTTCTCTCTTCTTTCATTCACATTTATATTTCAATACTTTCTTTTTCTTTTGTTTTTAATTTCTCTAATATAGAACCACAACAAATGTAAACAACGTCATTTTGTGACGATAAAAACACACACACACACAAAATAAAACACAATTAAATAGATAAATAAAAAATAATTTTACATTTCATTTTGATTTTCAGAAAATGGTTTTGGTATTAAATGGCGTTCTTCAAGATGACTGTCCGTCCGACACAGTGTCATTGTTCATGCAACATCCAGTATACAGAGATTATGCCAATCAATTGGTATCGATACCAACGAAAACGGTAAGCAAAGTAGAATTTTTTTTTGTTTGCTTTTGAGATGACGTTCAAAAAAATAGATTTTCAAAGAAGCTAGTATGAATGTCGATTCCATTAAACCGAATCATTATTCCAAGAATTATTATCAAGATTCATTATTCGTTGAATAATATTTGTTTTTTTTTTGTTTTTTCATTTTTATTGTTTTGTACACAAACAGATCGGCCCAGTAGGTCTCTTATATGTAGGCCAAAGGGAAATGGCAGCGGTTGCAACGCACGATAAAAATGTCAATATTATTGGTTCAGATGATGCCACCACTTGTATTATAGTTGTAGTTAGACATTCAGGTAAGTGAATTCTAATTAATCCAAACACGAACGAAAATACATTGTGTTTATCATAATTTTAGCGAATAAAAAGAGAAAATTCAACAAAATATAACATTAAATTGCAATAGGTTCTGGTGCTGTTGCGCTGGCTCATTTAGATGGCAACGGAACGGATGAGGCCGTTTCAACCATGGTGCATAGAGTTAATGCATTGGCATTTGGTTATCCAGAAGGTCGAATAGAATTGCAATTGATTGGCGGTTACAGAGACCAACCGGGTGGCTATGCTGAAGACTTATTTTATACGATAATGCGTAAGTGAAAATTCGAAAACACCCAAGTCGAATATAAAAACAATACGGCACAATAATAATTCCATGAATGATTCGTAACGTTAATATTCCGATACTGTATTAATTGCATTGGTGCTCATTTTCTTGGAAATCGAAACGACGAACGAAACAAAAAACCCGTCAACATACATACATTCAATTGATAAATGCGATCGGTCGCAATGAGACGCTTGTGTGCTTTAACTCAGACGTTATACCATTTAATTGACAGAGGTCAATAAGTTGAAGCTATTTCATATGCGACAATATACTCGACTCACACACACTTCGTATTCGATGTGTATCGTTAAATGAATATATGCACTCTGTAAAATCAAACGAAATTAAATTTGTGGCACATAAAAAAACAATGAAATGCTCAAGAAAGAGAACGCGTGTACATCTTGTCATGATGGGCAAGGCGACAACGAAAAAGAAATTGAACAATGGAATCAAGTATTGCTTTTGTAAAATTGATTCGATTTAATTATTAATTGAGAACAGATTTATGTGGTCATTTAATTCAATTTATGCTATTTGCTAGTGGCACACAGATTCCCAATTTACGATTCCCCTTGCTCTCTTTTTCTTAATCAAACCGTTATCGAATTACTTTATTCAATTTTCAATTGTTTTTCCCGTTTCACTTTTCTCTCTCTCTCTCTGCTCTTCAACGCATTTGATTCATTCATATATTTGTCGATTACAGTGTCGGTATTCACAATGGCGCGTCTGCATTAAATGGTTTTACTGTCATTGAATAAACGCAATTGCAGCCAATAATGCAGTGCATCTAATGTCTCAGAGAGTTGTTTGGAAGGATTTCTGTTTTTTTTTTTTACTTTTCACATTTCGAATTAAATGAATAAAAGAGGGCCGAATAAGTGTGTTAGTTTTAATAAATGACCATTATAATGGCCGCATTGCATATACCGTTAATATGTGTGTATGCGAGTATGTATCTTATGAACTTCAATTATGACAGTGTTATAGGGTTGCACTTGTATGATTTATAAGTCTGCATTAACAACCTCTATACATACTCGTTTATTTTGAAATGAAGAAAAAACAACACACACGCACGAAAAATGAGCAATAAATTTAATTTTTATGTGGGCGAACATTAGTACTTCTTCCGATGAAATATTCGTCCGAAAATAGTTTTATCAGTAATCAATGTCGGTTGTAAAAGTGGTGATTAAAATGCGAAAAACAGAGTTAAAACAATTGTTATTCGAGAACGTAGTGACAGTGGTTGAAATTCATTTGAATTATTACATTTATCAAAATTCATTCAACCGCAGATAAATAATTAAACAATAAAGAAACTATTCACAAGGCATACGGCACCTCATATCTATAAACTAAAGTCGAACTCTGTCACACACACACACATTCACATGCAGGCAAGATAAAAAAAACAACAACCAAAAGTGCCAAAGCAAAATGTGAAAACAAGTTGATTTACGGCCGTTGTTAAATGAGAAATATAAATTAGGAAGAGGATTTTATGAGGCATGTACAAACGTTTGTACTAACTAAAAGTTGACATTTTACATGCTCATCGAACATGTAACACATCGAGTTAACAAGATTGTCCAAGAAAGATTATTTACCATCATCTTTCTCACTCACACGTTCACTACTTGGAGTTTCGCGTATGCCGACAGAGAGACGATCGGCTTTTGTAATCTGAAGAGTGTTTTATGTGGTGGCTCTTCTGTCTTTGCCATTTTCTTCTTGTACATTGATTTGCATTCGATTTGGATTGCTTTTGTGACCGACACAAATCTTTTTTTTTGTTTCGAACAATGCAAGAAGAGACTACCGATATAGATATATATATGCAGCAAGCAAATAATAATAATTCGATACTGTTGCCAATATCTCAATCTTTGATTGCATTAAAATTAATTTGCGAAACATCTTCTCTCTTTATCAATACAAATCGAATGATGTTCAAATAAATATCTAAGCACACATTCACGTAAGCTCTTTGTTCGTCTTTGCAATATTTATTGTTTAATAAGAATGAGATACGAAATGCATTCGCTTCGGGCAATCAAGAAAGGAACAACAACAACAACAAAATCGGGAACATATGTTAGCACACATATATTATCATCACATGTCTCATTCTGTCTCGTTAGATGTGTTTTTTTATTCCTACCTTTAGTGTCGTCATTTTCAATTTAGTGTTTACGCTCTTTGGGTGTATGGTGAGGTTTTGTTTTTCGATTCATGTTTGCATCAATGGCCATCGTTTTTCTATCTCTCTTTCTCACGTCATTTGCCATTAAAGATTGAAAATGTTAAAGTAAATTGGCATACATAAACATCAGTATGCAAACATATTAAATTAAATTAGTCAATAATAATGTATTTTGTGTTTGCATCTAATTATTTACCATATATATGCACACATACACTATGTCTATCACATATAATGCAATGCAACAGATTTGTGCATTTATTATTTTCCTTCTATCTTCCCCCGGTTCCTACACCGAAAACGACAACGACAACGACGACGACACACTATTGGGGAGTGTGAGTGAGTGAATGATGCGCCGTTACATTGAATCTAATACATTTAATAGAGTTGGACGCTCTGTCGGTCGCGCTCGCACCTTATAGTTGCAGTAAATATGATTGTAAAGCTGTAAGTGGCATTAAGATCCCTCCTTATATGTTCGACTTTCAATGTTCATCTTTACGGTCCGTTTTACCACTATACAATGTGATTTGGAGTTGGTGGTCGCCGTCGCCATCGTCGTCGTCGATGTGTACGTGTGTTTGTTAATTTTTCTATAAAATGTATGGCATACATTGCATCGCAATTCATTGTCAATATTTGCGCAATGCAAGTTGATGTTGTTATTGTTGTTGTTGATCTCTTCGCACACACACACACATTTTGTATTTAATTGAATTTTATTACTACATTACTGATTGGACCCAACAAGTATCAATTTCATTTTGTATTGTATGCAAATCGAGCTCCGATTTTGTTTGAATTTAGTTGAACGAAATGCATACAATGCTGCCTATATGCATATGCGGGGTGGCAGTGCCGTATTGAACGGCACCTCCTTTTGGAAATAAATATATGTATATGCACAATTATGAAATAGCAATTTACAAAATGCGTTTTTAAATCTCAATGCATGCATCAGTCATTCATAGTCACATTGAAAATTGGCTTATTATTATGCGATTTACATGCGATTTTCTCTATGGTTAAATTAGTTTACATAATGTAGCATTTTTTGCATGATCACCGTCTTTTGCCACGAAAGCCATAAATAGAAACTGATATTATTATCATCGAAACGACAAAAAAGCACTAAAGCTTTATTTTTTTTACTACCAGATTGGTCCAAGTCTTTTCTTCACTGCAGTCTACAAGTTGTAAATTGTGTTTTCTGCTGATGTTCAATGTTAAATGTCCTACTGGACGGTCTACAATATGTGATAGGTGTATGTAGTGTATGCACGTGGATTTGTTATGGAAAATATGTATGTGTTAAGGTTGGTTTGCATGGCATGATAGAAGGGATGACCAAAACATGCCAATGAATTTAATTCAATATCATCGTCTATCGTCAATTTTCTGATTAATTTAATCCCAGTGTCCGATGTCCTTTTTAGTCGAATAAATTATTATGTTACATATCCGTTTTCGCAAAAACATGAGCATAAATGGTGCACAAACATACTACACAGAGAACACACTGGAGAGGTACCAAGCTCGCATTTCTCAATAATTTGCGATGAGAAAACACCGAGAAAGAAAGAGAGATAGAAAGTAAAACATATCATACACACACACATGACCATATGATATTGCCGGACATTATTACAATGTCGCATTTTATCCATTTGTGGTTTGGTTTAGAAATGTGATGCACTTGCGGTATGAGAAACAGAGAATGAGTGTAGTGTGTGTTGTCGTCGATTAATTCCGTTTACGTATCAATATTATCTGGCTCTCTTCGAGATGTGCACGTGCTTGTTGCTACTTACAGCATTTTTACTATTCCGTTTAAAAATAGACAAAGCGAAAAAAGAATTCGAGGTACATACAAACCTTTTCTAAACTCATTTTACTGTACGCTGACTGGTACAGTCTGTTTGGGTATGCATTCTGCATAATATTTAAATGGCTCTTCTTGCCAAAACAAGACAATGATTTTCAGTGTCAAAAATTAAAAGGGAAAAGATAACCACGGCGAATAAACATCAAAGTCGAATTGAATCATCGAGGAAGTGATGATGGTCGTACATCGTTTGTTTTAGTTGTTGTTCACATCGTTCCCTTTACCTTCTGTTCAATGGTTAAAGAAGGCAAACAAGGTGAATGTGCTTGTTGAACAAGACTCTAACTCTTACTCTTCGATTTATAGTTATAGATTTTTCGCTACACAACTTATGTCCATAATCTAATCGATTCGCTCGGTGGTGCTACTTTTGATTTTCTCTCCTCTGTCTCTCTCTCTCTCTCTCTCAGTTTCTCTCTTTGTGTCTCTTCCTTTTCTCTATCCTTGGCGAACAAACGTTCAACATTTGCAGCATGTGCACACCTTCATCGGATAAAACGGAAGGCAGTGCAAAATAGACAGACGGTGCAAGAGCGAAGGAGCTAGTAGATGAACGTATGTAAACAGAAAGGAAAGATGGCAGGAAAAGCAGACACTGATTCATGTTTTAGATTTAGATTAGAAATTCAAATTCGTAATTTAAGAAGATGAATAGCATCATGCTTCGAATTCGGTCAAAAATGCAATCGTTTGACCACAAAAGAGTGAGCCCAAGTAAAATTGGAATTGCTTGTAAAATGGCCATGCCATTGAAATAAAATCACAGCGACACAAAGTATTTTCTATGCGTATGTGTGTGTGTGAGAGAATATTAAGATGTAAACGTTGGCAACAAAATTAAAGAAAAGAATATATGGTATATGTTCAACAATGGGAAATACACCTGATCAAATGCCGACCAAAAGAAGCAATATATAAACGGTTTGTAAAATATTCATTCGATAACCAAAGAGTGATTTGGTTTCATCAATTTGCCAGTCAAAAACGATTTCGATTGCGTCAAATTTATTTAACGACTGACAATTTTCCAATAGATGACACAGGAATGTGGAGGGGAATGGGTTTGGAAAATCGAAACGAGGAAGATGTTCAAATGTTTCAAATGCAAATCTAAATTCAAAACTTTGATTGATTTTGTTGGATAATCGGTTGACAGAAAGAGTTAAATGACTGTCATTCATTCAATTTGATTCTCTTGTATCTCGCATTGAAAAATGAATGTCCGAGCTTATGTGAGAGAACGATTCATTTCGATTTTTCGGTAGCGAGAATTGTGCAAAAGACATTAAGATGCACACCATGTGTAATGGGCCAATGGCAATGCTGATAAACGGAAAAGTGTTCATAATTCTTCCAAGAGAGAGAACTCTCGGATATGGTACTGGTCGTCGTCGTGCGTTTCATTCGATATGTATGTATGTGTGTATGTGTTGTTGTGGCGCTTTAAGAAACTTTGAAAATCGTTATCGCATTCCGGTCATTTGATGCCATTTTTCATGGGAGTTTCGTTAATGTTTTAGAACAATACCGAGAGACAGAGGGAAAGAGAGAGTCTCCAATTTCCAAATGAATGCTATCGCTTGTCTTTGTTTCCCTTGCTGCACATTGGTTCGCTTTTTCAAAGTAGATTTCTAATTTAGATATCAATCGGTATGAATTTATTAGAATATAACTAATATGCTCAAAATGTGGGTAAATTGGTGCGGTTTTTCATTTTATTTGCCGTCATCATGTGCACACTTTACATATTACTCTTACATTATTGCCGCACACTCATACACTCCCATCTTATCACTCAATGACCATTCGGTAGTGGTTTCCGACGCTTTGCCACAAATAATATACACGATTTAAAATAAAACGATTCAATTTTTTCTAAATTGTTCAATACAACTAGTCCTTTCAAATGAATCTGTTTCTTTGGTATCCCTGCTGTAAGTATTTGTGATTAAATTATTACACTTAAATCGGTCACATACAGATGTTTTGACAAATCAATCTCACAATTGATGGCATCCAACTATTTTGCATCAGGGTTCGTTCATTTACACACATTGTCTATTCTGTGATAGATGGAAGAAGGATTTTTAGCATATAATGAAGGTAATTTAATACAGATAGATGTATTTGTTACGTATGAACGGTTCGGTTTCGCCTTGACTTACCTCGTATCATTTATCGATGATAATTTATCTAGCTTAAATTAATAGCTTGACCAAAGCGCTCTTTTCTCCTTTTGCTTTTTACCATCGTCGTTGTCGTTGTTTTCATCATCGTCGTCACCAATCAGTGCCAACAAGGAAATGCACTGAAATGTTATTTGTGGCGTGTGTTGTGTGTGTGATTTTCGTTTCGGTAAACGAGATGACTTGAAGTAATTTATCGGAAATGTGTTTCTGCACACCGAACCGACGAACAAAATATTTATATATGATTTTTTATAAATCTTTTTGACATTGTGATTACTTTGAGCGCACACAAACATTAAAACGTTGCAAATCATTTACTTTCTATTGATGTGCCAAAGAAAATCGCTAAATATCATTTTGGTTAACTGCTTTTGTTCGTTCTTCTCTACAACATTTTTTTCATCTTCTTTTCTTTCGTTTCTTGTTTCGGTATGTTTCTAACCAATGTACACAAAAATAGAGTCATTTCATAAACTACCAATGGAAATCGATTTGACGCAAGCCTGTGTCGGCGAATTGAATACAATTTTACGTGGTGAAACAAATTGGCCAATTATTTATGGTGTCGGTGTGAACATAAAAACCGGTGAAATATTCCCAGCTTCGTTTCCAGACAAAGGTCCCGATTTGCAATTGCGCCAAGCACGAAATTTTACTGGCGGCCAAACGGTGAGTTGAAGAATGGCAATCAAAATGTGTTCGCGCACACCATACATACACACATTTGTATGGATGCTGGTGTCTGATTTGTACATTGCGCACAAATTATTGCAAAATCCGTATTGCAAGCGAACAGATTAAAAGCAACAACAACAACCACAAAAAAAATGTGTTTTAAGTAAAATCATTTAATTTTCGTTTTGTTTTTCCGTTTTGTTGTTATTTTTATTTGGGATGATTTCAAACAGGTTTTAGATATATACGATTCAACGGCCGGCATGTTGCGCATAGGACCATTTAATTATGATCCCATCCGAGGAGTTGATCTATGGCTAGCTCAAAGTGATGAATTTTTATTAACGCATTTATCAACCAGTCCAGAAGTGGAACCACCACATTTCACGAATCAGGTAGGTGTTTGTGTCGCACACATAAAATTACCATTAAACATAATTTACTAAAAAAAGCATTAAGAAAAATAAAAAGCTGACAACAACAACAACAGCACTCGATATTTGCATAATTCATTGTCGACGTTTGTGAATTTGTCTGCTTCGGTGCGTTAAAACAAAGTTTTTTTTTCGCATTTTTTTTTTATTTCACTTCTGAAAAATGCTATTTGATCGCATATACGCACACACCGACGATTAAGAGGCTATCATGATTTTCAAATTCATCGATTACCATTACTATTATTAATATTGCAATAATTCAGTTGCAAATGCGGTTTGAATGAGCATTGGGTATTGCGTGAGCTCAGCCATCAGAACGCCAATTTTTATGGCCAAAATAATTTTAATTTGCGTTCACGATGCATTCGGTATCAAATACTGATAGTTGTGTCAAGTGTTTGCTTGATGCACTTTTTTTTCGGACATAAAACGACCAAATATCAAACACACACATACCACCACATCAATTTTACGATCCGTACAGCAACATTTGTACGTACGATTCATTCATTTCTGTTCCGTAATCGTCAATCTCTTCATTATTGTGTGTGTATGTCGTTTTTTTTTGTTTCTCTGCATCTGGCAGCCAAGTGCTCAAGTGCATCGCATCGACAGTTAATAGAATGGAGCAAAGTAAGCACGGTTTAAATTTCAGCATCCAAGATGCTCACCACTTTTAATGACTACAAGTTTTTCTATTATCAAATGAAAAATTTATATAATTTTTTTTTTTCGTTCGTTTCGTTTTGAAAATTTATTTTATTTATTGCCATTAAAAAAAAATAGAAAAATCTTCAAGTTAGCGGATTTACTGAAATTTTTTCCCGTATGTGTTCCGTAGAAGAAGGAAAAAAACACACCGAAGTGACACTTAATGTGGTCAATCGTCATGAGCACACGCCACAGAAATACGTTGTGCGCATTGCATTGCATCGCATCGCATCGATTACAAGCACATGTCTCAAATTTCAATTAAATTAATAAATATTTTATTTTTCATGGATTTAGCCTTGTTAAGCCGCTCATAAACGTTACCAATTGATGATGCGTACATTTGTCTCTCTATTGTCCGTTTGTAATTTACCATATTGACATAAGGCATAAATATGTGTTTAAATCGTAAGCTTGCGAGCACGGCCAACCGCACTCTTTGCAAATAAGTTACGCATTTATTCTACCGTTTTAATTCTCTCTCTCTCTCTCTCTCTCTCTCTCCGGTTGGCAGATATTTTATTTATTGAACTTTAGTGGAAATAAAATGGCACAAAAGATATGCACACATTCGTACATCAATAATTTACAAACAGTTTTAAAAAACCGACATGAATTTACTCACCAGAAATATCAACTATCTTATAAAACATTTAAAATTACATTTTGTTTATCAAATTTATTATTCTATGATCTCTCTCTCTCTCTTCCCTTCTCAATCAATTTATTTCATCGCTGTTTTACACTCGCCGCTTGCCAAATGCTGTCTCTATTTGATGGAATTGACGACACTAACAACAGGTTCGGCTAACATTGAAATATATTCAAGATAATCAATTTCCGGCGGTGACTGTATTTCGTGATAATCGGCCACGTTATTATCAACGCGACGATATGACTGGCACCTGGACATTAGTAAGATTTTAATTAAAACTAACAATTATCTCTCTTGTTTTTTGATTGTGTGCTACGAGGACAAAAGCAAGAATTTTGTTATTAGTATAAATATATATATAAAAGAAACTCTGTGTAACGAAAAACAATTCCGAAATTCTCAGCTCAATTTCATTAAAGAAAAACAAACAGAAACAAAATTCAAACAATTATATAATGGAAGAGGTCAATAAATATCGCAAAAATCAATTATAACATGAATGAAAAAAATGCGTTTGTATCAAAATGAATGCACTTTGTCTACTGTCCATGTCAGGCCACAATTTATTACCGTTGCCATCAAACTATTCCAAAATCGATAAGTTTAGTAGATCTATGTCGAGCAAAAAAACAAACGAAATCACAAATTGCATTCAAAACTCGATTCACAATGCATTTTGAAGTTAAAATGATGAGAAAAAATAGAAAATTTCCGATAAAAAAAAAAACATAATATATAAATGTATGTCAAATCCAATTGTTATCAACAAAAAATGATATTTTACGTTACTATTTAATTATCGTTAATCATTTCTTTATGATGTGTTTTTTTTATTATGATTATTATTATTATTATAAAAATATGTTTTTGAGAATTAGACGAAGATTTGAAGTATAAAAAGGTGAGAGCATGCAAAACAATGTGCGAATTAAAAAAAGAAAAGAAAATAAAGAGCCGACGGCACCGAAGCGAAAATCTACATTTTTATCAATTAACTTAATTTATTGCAATGTCATAATTTTGTTTAGTAATTTAGCAACACCACATACACAATATCATATCTATCTATATATAAATTTGCTTCCCCAAATATGGGTTTCCCAATTTTCCGCTCTTGCCATACAATACGAATACTAAATCCACTCACCACAATGCGATTTATCGCATCACTGATTTTGAAAAAAAAAAAAAAATCCCCATTGTATCTTATGTTTATATTGGAGATTTTGAAGACGAACAACGTATAATATTAACTTCAAATATTTTTTTTATAAAAGAGTGGAAAATAAGAAAAAAAAAGAGTTTGTATATATCTCAATATATAAATCACATATAAGCATATAGTAACAGAAAAAACGTTCCTCGTACGTGAATTTGACTTAATCAAAAAAAAAATCGATTCTAAGTGTAACAATGCGCATCTAATAATAATTTTTGTTTCGGTTTTTAAATGATGAATACACACACATACAACAATTTTGAGCTTATAAATTACAATTAAAGAAATGTGTACTTTAGTTCAATAAAATGTTATAGAAATATATTCAATCCCACAACAGCCAAAATAAGAAAATACAATTGTTTCATTTGTGTTGTTAAGAATGTGCAAACGCCTTAAGTTCCATCAAATGCGTTTCTATGTAAGTATAGCAGCAAAACGTTAAATTTAACGGGACATAGGTAAGCTAATACATTTACGTTTAAAAAAGTCTGTCTGTCTGTTCATTGCATTGTGATGCAACTATTAGTTATTAGATCAATCACTTGCGTTGACAGTAGATTTTGTGCGATAATGAAGAGAGGTTGTTTGACCGAGATGAGTAGTCGCAACGAATTCGATTGACTTTCAACCAATGACACGATGTGAAGACTTCAAGTCTCATTGAGCCGACGGTGGCGCCACCAATTTCAAAGGGGACGTCAATGTAATTTAACAACTCAAATCGAAACTAAACAGCGCGCCAATTTTAAAATTTGCTGTCATCTCCTCCCATTACTTTCAACAGCATCTTAATTTAAGAAATATAATGAAGTTTGTTGCGATTTCTGACAGAACTAAGGTAAAATTCAAGTCGTACAATTCCATGAATTTTAACGTTGCACCAATGCACCAATGTCACCAATTGACAACGTTGACAACGTGTTTGTGCCAGTCAATACAGTTTTCTTGTTGATCGAAGATGTAAGTATAACATATTTTAACGAAGAAAATGCGATTCTTCCAGGATATTTTGTAAATCGTATTATTTTGGCTGTGTACTCATCATTTTGCTACTAATTTTCGTTTATAGTTCCAAATCGTCCACTGAAACGATAATTACAGCGACGGAAATGAAAAAATACTGTATTATGTCAAAATTTATGTATCAAGTACGATTAGCTGGGGGAAAAAATGGAATTGTATTGCTAAGTTCGGCTGAAGACTATATTCCCTGCTCTGCACCGCTAAAATTCACCGCAACGGAGAAGATTTTACTTGGTGGCTGCAAATTCCATGGATTTTTAACGAATTCAACTACTAGAATGTCGATGGAAATCAAAATTAGCAGTGCTATCACCGAATGTTTATAAATTGAATGTAACCAGCATTGCAGGAGTAATGAAGCATACGACTTAGAAATCAAACTGACCAATCCAATCGTTATTATGTCAGAAACGGAATACGAAATTTCGGTAAGTTTTGATGGATTCGAGCCATGGACCTGTTTGAGTAAATTGCATGAAAGGTCGTCCGCTGAAGTGTCATTGCAAGATGTACGCATAAAATATTATGGCGATCCACCCAATGCTTTTGTACCAGACAAATTCTACAGCATTATTTCGGAATTTTATTTTAATCTGTAAACGAAGATGAAAAAATAATGTAAATATTGCAATTTAAACGAAATTTTGCGAATTAAATGTTAACATTTAACATAAATAATCGAAACCAAAACTTTTTCTGTTATCTTTAAATCAATATTTCAGGCAATATTTTATTTGGGATAATCTATTCACATCTGTGATTCTCTGACACTTTTTTCGGTTTTGAATATTCTCATAAATACACGCTACGTCTGCAATTCTGGTGAAAACTACTTCTATGCATTTTACACTTGACTCAGTTGAGAAAAAATGCCTTACCTTGGGATAAACCATTGATTGAAAGCAATTAAAAAGCGTTGAATTGTTTTACAAACGTGCCATTGAAAAAGCAAAGCGATACAACATAAAAAGTCTTACACTATAAGATGAACTTTTCCGCCATGTACATCATGAGATAAATATACAAAAACAACTCAATTCACGGCAGACGTGCAACCGACCTCAATAACCGTGTTAAATAGTGTTAAAACATGATGTCTGACCAAAATTATCATGTTTATTGGTCAAAAGATCAAAAGTAATGTGAAAATTGGTTAAATAACCGCGTTGAATCATGACAGACCATGATGGCCAACATCAAAAATACCATACCCCCTAATTTTGGGTCGAGGAATCCAAATTTGACCATGAAAATTTTGACATCACCCATACAATCTTTTCAAAAATAAAATTTGTATGCACTATAAGACCATGATGGAGTGGACCAATTTGGTCAAAAATCTAATGGTTTTACCTCAATATTCCAAAGCATCCTATAAAATCAGATTTTGAAAAACTATCACGAGAAAAGAGATAATGGGTGAACAAAAACGGTCACGTACAACGTGGAACAGACCCACCACAACCTGGTCTCAGATCGATTATTTTTTCATCCCCAATCCAGAAAAGGTCATCTCCGACCATTTTGAGAATTTTTATTTTTAGACCCCATTACAAGACTTTTCCCTTCAAACTACGTGTGGCCCACACGGTGTGGGCGGAAAAGTAAAAGATATATTTTGATATAAAGAAAAGCTGATATCAATAGTATAATATCGAACAAACAAAATTAAAAGAAAAATAGGTAAGACTTTGTTGGAAATATTTGCGAAGCACATAAGAATTTAACTTTCAATTCATCAATTTTAAATTATTTTAATTTTGTGCAAAATGGCACTATTTTCAAGTTTTATTGTTCAAATGTTAACGATAAAGATGTGGATATACTATGGCTACTTCCCCAACATAATATTATTTGAACAATCTGTATGGCTCCATCTCACTGATAGATGGCGTCAAAAGCAAAATCAGCTGTTTCTTCACATTAGAATAACATACTTCCAATTAACTTTGAGTCTTATTTTTTGTTCCATGGAATGGGACACATGCTTATCAAAATAAAATCTAAAAATCAATTTAAAAAAAAATTAAATTTCATTCGAAATAATAAAAAAAAATTGTCGATTGAAAAAAACTTATGATTTGTGCACGAGAGTATGTACTAAATGGTGACAGCAATTGAAATTGGCCAATACAAATCATCGAACGCACACAAGTACATACACAAAGACAGAAGGAGACGAACGATACCGTGTGACCGAATAAAATTGTGAGCTAGCAAAGAGTGCGATAGATATTCAATGTCACACGATATATTAGTACATACAACGACGGCTATTCAAATTCGAATGTGAATTTGGTGCATTCCAATACACACAGTATACACAAACATTGTACGACTTAAAAAATTATGTGTTTGCGGTGTGTATGTTATTGTATAGTCTATTAGTTTCGGCAGTTCTGTCTGTTGCGATAGAAGTGAAGAGAGCAAATTTTAAGATTTGAATATTGAACACAACAGGACGCAACAATAAAATAAAAATAACAACGATAGAATCAAAACGATATCCATTGATTTAGCGTAAGCGATTGGTGGCCAATAAAAAGAACAAAGAAAATTTAACCGAACGACACTGATAGAAATTAGAAATAAGACAAAAGCAAATAGTGTATAGAGATCATCAGCTGGCAATAGATGCGATTCAAATGTTAATCGCATCCAATGGAATTTCAGCGTAGGTAAGTAAATGATGTGTTGTAATTTTATCATTTATTTATATATATTGCATTTGATATATCAGCGTTTTTTTGTTTAACTGTAAACGGTACAGTGTTTAACGATAACAAATAGAAAGAATACAATTTATGCCAATGCTAAATCTTTTTTTTCTTCGGTGTAATGGGTGATCGATCGCAATTAATTCGGAACAATTGAGCATCGCACAGAAGAAATTTTTTTTTTTTTTTGGAAGAATTTAAACGAAGTTGTAAAGTAAAATCGTTGATCGATGCGTGTGTGCGTTGATTTATTTATTTTTTCTTCTTTGTTGAGTTGAAAAAAAAAACTAATTCCTTTATTATATTTTCAAGCGCGTTGTCTGTGATTTTGTTCCATATATTTCTGTATCAGTCTGTGTCGTGAGTTCACAAACACACACACACACATGTATCTCGACTCATAACACCGAAGTCAAACAAAAAAGTTTAATTATCTATTGTACGCCGATGTGTTTTGGATAAATTTATTTATAAATTAAAAGTTAATAGATTGATAAGTTTTTCTTTTGTTGGTGAGAGATTTTGGGTTTGGCCATTGTAGAAAATAATGGACGGTCGCAATGCAACTCTCTCGCGCAACGGTAGTGCTAAATACATTTATGATTATAGCAAATCATTTTCCCGTTCATTACACGTTGTATTTGATATGTGTTTTTTTTATTTGCTGTATTCGAAACACTTCCCTTCCATTTGGCAACCGAGTGAAATGCACATTATTTTTTTTCTTCTTCGTTCGGTTCAAATCCAAAAACAACAGCAGCAACAACAACAACAATGCATAAAATGAAGAAAAAACATAAAACACAACCGAAGGCGAATCGAAAATGAAAACGCCATACACCACAAATGAACAAAGAGAGCTGCACGATTCCGAATGCAAACTCACTTCAAATATTTAAAACTCTATTTGCTCCAATTAATTTCGCATCGGTTTCTTTTTTTTAAATTTTCTTCTCTTTCTGCCTATCTCTGTCGCTCTCACTGCTGTTGATGCGCGCGCGTATGCTTATTGCACTGCGGTCATTATTCAAGTGTATTTCAACACATAGCCTCTCGCAAATTGATATACACAGCATTTCTAGAAAAAAAATTGCATGGTTACATTTGAATCGCACACAAGCATCACGCACATTCCGGCCGATCGACTTTGGTAGACGACGTCTTGTATTTTTTTTTTTTTGTTGTTGCGCTTCATCGCTTCAGCATTTGACTAACTGTAAATAATAACAACAATTTGGCAAACGTATAGGCAAGTGTTACTACGTTTCGAAAACGATTTCGAGCGCAAGACACGACACGCACAAACAAGTAAACTGTCAACTCTATTACACATTGTTCTTCATCATTTTTTTTTTGTGTGTGTGTTTCTTTTCTTTCGATGAACACAGATCAAAGGCATCATCGAATTGAAAATCAATTGACACACACCAAATTGAAATCACACACCACGTGCATATCCATGATGGAGCATCTTACTGTGACATCTACACAACCGTATCATGGTTTTTTGGAAATTCAGGGACATAAACGGCCCGATTTATTATCACAACTTGAATCGGAAATTGCCGCTTACCAACCATATACCAAACAAATAGTCGCTCAACCTGATCTACATCCAAAGCTGGAATTTGACACTGTTTATTTGGCATGGAGTGCGGGAAACAATAAATACCATCGATGCATTGTCACTGAAAAACGTTCCAACAACAAAGTCGTTATTCAATTGATCGACTATGGCTCGGACTTTGAAGTGGATGCTAGTGTGGTAAGTAAATTTCACTTGAATTAAAGTAAATAAGAAAAATAATTTAAGTAAATTTCACTAGTTTGAATTTTGTCGATTTCTGTATGCATCGTCGCCAGATTAAATAAAAAAATCAACTTTATACGGTTGTCCATTTGAACCAATTGGAATTAACTTAAATGATTTTGTAAAAATGCCATATTCCGTACATAATTTTTGGTGAATGCCGTTATTTTAAAGAATTTCTTATCAGTTGAGTCGAAATCATTTCGAATTTGTTTATTTTGCATGAAGTTTTCGTGTTTATTTGTTTCAATCGATTGATTCAACGATATGAAATCGAAACTTAATTCCAAGAATTCATTTGAATGGGGCGACCGCTATAAAAACATGAATAAATTTAAAATTAGCAAACATCGAGAAAAAATGTTGTCGATGTCATTTTTCATAATTTTATGTGCAAACGAACCACTGAATTGATGACATTTTTTCTTGAATATTCTATTTCTATTCTAAAATGTGCGACATTATTGTTTATTCAGTTGCTTGAGCTGGATCCAAAAAATAAAAAAGGTGAATTTTTGCGTGAATTTCCGCCAATCGCAACTCGATACATTTTGGCAAATTTCTTTTGCAATTGGAAGTTAAACGAACGTGTCATCATTGAATCGTTGCTGGTCAAGTCAATTTTACCAATCACAAACGAACAATCGGTAAGTGACGAAATAGTCATCATTTAACAATCACATTTTAAATGTTAATTCGAATTGTATTGCCCATAGGATCGTGATTATACCTACATTTCATTGAAATATGGTGATATTGATTTGGCAACAAAACTTATCACATCAAGTGTTGGTATGGAAATTTCATTTACCGAACAACGAATGGAAATGCGTAAATGGTCGCAGCGTTTCGAAGAATTCAGCAAAGGTCCGGCAATGAATGGTGCCGCCAGTGGTTCACCAGCACGACGTGAAAAACGTCGAAATCTCGTTCCAACGCGTCCATTACAAGCGGCAGTAGCAGCAGCCACAACAAATAATAATAACAACAACAATACAATCACCGATCAGGGCAAACAATTGATTCAAAATTATATCGCACAAAAACCGATACGTCCAACTTTTCAACCAGATGCAACTCCGATTGAAGTGATTCCACAGCCAAATGTTGATGGTCGAATTCCAGCATTTACCGGCAATGAATTGGTGCCGAATATATTTCATGTGGTTTATTGTTCGTACGTTGAAAATGGTCCAAACGAATTTTATGTGCAACTAAAGAGTCAAGAGCATATTTTGGATCGTTTGGCCAATGATTTGGCGAGTGCCGAACGTATAAAACTCAATTCAAAACGGCCCATCAATATGTCATGCATTGGTATGGCGTGCATTGCACGATTTTCCGAAGATCAAAATCTATATCGAGCGGTCATTCACAAAGTGCATACCGATGGTTGTCGCGTTATATTCGTCGATTATGGTAATTCAGAATTGGTGGCATTCTCCGATTTATACGAAATTCCATCCAATTTTCTCGCACCAAAAACATTTGCAATGCCATTTGAATTGTTTGGCTGCAAAGAGCTCGGACCGATCGATGCTCGTTTGAAAAATGCATTCAATGCGCTTGTTTCAAATGATACATTGCTTGAACTCAAAGTCATTCCCACAAAATTATCACCAGTTCAACAGTGCGAACTCTTTTTGCCGAATGGTGATAATGTGCTTACCGTGTTAAAACAAAAGAAGACCGCATTGAACACATACCCGAATCCACCACATTTGAAAGGTACACTTACATTGAATTATTATTTTATGAAAACAAAATCGAATATTTCTTTTTTTCTATTTAAAAGACGGTGATTTGGTTGTTATACGCTGTGCAGTCAATGCAAAAAAATTCTTTGTACAACGAGTCAAAGATCAGGAAAAATGTGAACACATGATGGATTTACTATTGGCACATTGCCATAGTGCACCAAAAATGACCGTACTGCCACCGAAGGATAAATGCTGTGCCGCAATGTTTCAAAATGATGCCCAGGAATGGTATCGTGTTATTGTTATGGATCAAATTGATAACGAACACGTTCTAGTGTATACCGTTGATTATGGCTTTGAAATGAAATGTCGATCAGATGAATTACGTGATATCACGTCAAATTTTCTCGAATTACCACGTCAAGCCATCGAATGTTGTTTGGTCGATTTTGCGGATGTACCCGAAGTACCAGAAACGACACGAGTACAAATTGAAATGTCCATTGAACGCTCCGATGGATATATACGTAAGTACAAAACGTCATTGCATCATCGCCTTCCGAATTCAGCTTATGTTGTTGAATTACGTGACGAAGAAAATGAAATGAGTTTATCGCATTCGGTGTATAAAAATACAATGCCACGTCGCAATAATTATGTCCAAAAATCATCGACTAAAGCCGTAAACGAAGTAGAAAAACCACCAAGAGCAATATCAACAACAGCAATACCACCCGTCAATAAACCAAACAACTGGCCAATTGTGCGAGAATGCGATGGTGCCGAAAGTCATGAAAAATTCATTGAAACGACCGATGGACCGATTGAGCAACAACGATTTGGAAACAACAAAGATCGACAGACCGACGATAACACTCGATATGATCGTGCCAAGCCACAACAATCACCCCGAGCACGGATTGAAAATACCAAACAATCGATGAACAATGGATCATCACCGAAAAATTATGGAAATCGGTTAGTTAAACCATTTTTTTTGTGTCTTTCACTTTATCCCCATGTTTTTTTTTTTTGTATAAAAACCATGTTCCTTCTGATTTCAGGTCAGAGTTTGACAATCGACGTAACAACGAAATGAACAAAAAGTAAGTATTGGAAGCTCAATTCAAAGCATAAAATCTATTTATTTGCATATTTATAATCACATTGCGAATGCGAAATAATCATTTAAATGTTAATTGTATTAATGATATTGATTTGTATGTTTTTGTTTTTTAATTTTAAACATTAATTGTCAACATCATTTTCTTTTTGTGTGTTTTACTAAATGTGTTGTGTACCCAGACCGATTTTACAAAAACATGTCATACCACGATTCAATAAACGTCCCAATCGATCAAGAAACAATCACAATGGAAAACGAATGATAGGGTAAACGCCAAAACATTTTGAAAATAAAATAAAATCGTTTATTTTATGCCCTCACACATCCACACACAGAATCAATTTTTTTTGTATTTTCCAAATGACACTCAGACAAATCAAGAACTCGATTGGATTTTCAATGCACTTTCGTTGTTTTGTTGATGGAAAAAGGACTTTTTTATTTCTTTGTTCAAAAACTTGTAAATTGGTTGCGAATCGTACTCATTTAAACATATGCTATTTGGCACACTCACACACACACCCCATTTTTGCACGCACATGTTTTATTTCACACAATATTCATTTAGCACATATCATTACTGTAGTTTTTAACGGTATTACTTTGTTAATTACGCACGCTCATAAAAAATGCATCTGTTTGTTTCTCACATTTGATTTTGTGTAGTCTCGATAAGAATGATAATTGGGAAAGCTCTGGTGTGGCTGAATCTATGGGTAATCATAGCACAGATACGATAAGGTTCGTTGTTTGGTTCATTCATTTATTGTAGACCTCTATTTCCTCTCACACATCTCCACACATCTCCACACATCCATATTCACTTTCGAGTTGACTCTCATAATCAATTTTTTTTTTTTAATTTCATTGAATTCAGCAAAACCCCGGATAAAATCAACACAAATAACAATAAGCGTCCACCAATGATAACAACTGAAGATTTTGTTGGTTTTAATGCAGTATTGCCGGATGCAATTCCAGTTCCGCTGAATTCAAGCACTAAAGTGAACATCGTTGATTGGCGTTCACCTTTGGAATTTTATGTACAACTCAAGTCGATGGACAACAGATGCGATGATATGATGAATCAAATTCAAAGATACTATAAAAAACGTGCAACAATCCAAACAAAAGTTCCGATCGGTGCATTGGTTTTGGTTCGGCACAAAGCTGACGATATTATCAAACGTGCCAAAGTGCTTGAATACAATGAACCACGTGATAAATATCGTGTCCAGTTTATTGATTATGGCAGCAAATGTATCTGCCAAACATCGGACATGTATGAAATAGAAAAATCATTCACAATTTTACCGGCGATGGCTATGCGATGCACATTTGGCAATGTCACCTTGAACAAATCGATTTTGGAAATTCATGATAAAGTTCATCGACACATCGAAACGTCCAACGAAATTGAATGCACAGTGATCGCTCAGGAACAAAACATCCATACAGTTGATTTGATTGTGAAACGCTCCGCTGATTTGGCCGTCAATTTGAAAAATACTCTGATTCAAGAGAAATACATAAGCAATTTGTTCAAAGGTAAATCAAAGTGAACGAACACATTCACAAAGTAAACGATTTCTTAAAATTGGTTTTTTCCTTTTCATTTCAATAGATATGAGCTTGGAACGTTTGATTGGCCAAACACTCACCGTACTCATCACATCAGTCACAGATCTAACTCGATTCCAAGCAATGCTTTATGGCTGTGATATTGCATTGATGTGCAGTTACAAAGACTTAAGCTTAGTTAAGAAGAATCCACAATTATCAGAGCATTTCCGAACATTCGAGAATAAATATGTCAATGTCAAGATTGAATCGATTGACGCTGATAACATGTAAGTTTTATTCACTTCATCCGATCTCCGTATTCATCGTCTACGACATAGTGTTCTTTAAACAAATATTTTGTGCATATTTTCAGTTTGATGTTGTCCGTCTATGTGCCGGGATTGGACCAAGATACCAATTTGCCTGATATATCCTATTATCCGATTGATAGCAATACATTTGACGGTACAATTAGTCACATTGAGCGACCCAATGTTGTTTACGTTCAGAACATTAAGTTTGATGGGCAGCTAAATGCATTATTAGATGAACTGTATGGGGCATATGAAAGTGACAGTAAGTAATTCTCAACAAAGTTTTTACAAATGCATCTGGATTTTTTCTATTACCAATCAATTTTATCTGTTTATGTTTCCTCTTTGCAGCATCAGTTTGTTCATCATTGGAAGTGAACCAAATCTATGTCGCGGTGTCATCACTTGATGGAAATTACTATCGCTGCCAAATCGAGATATTTTATCCAGACGATACGGTAACGGTGCGTTGGATCGATTATGGGAATACGGAACGAATTCCAAAGTCCACTGTTAAAGTGATAAAAGAACAATTCAAGTCACCGTTGAGCATTATGGCTCGAAAAATGTTTATTCCAATTCAATTCATTGATGAAAATGCATCATTGGCCGATTTTGATTGGACCACCGTGAAAAATGTCAAAATTGTGGGCACACATCAAACCAATTTTATTTGTGATCTATCATTGAATGGATGTAATTTATTCGAAAAATTGATTGCCGAAGGTAAAGCAAAGAAGCTTTCTTTGTCACAACTCATTGAATTGATTGATCAGATTCAATCGGTAATTGAAGCACCTGTTCAAGAAGAAAAAGATCAACCGATACAGACTGAATCGATACAACACCAACCTCAACAACAACAAACCGAACAACAAACTGAACAGCAGCAACCACCGCCTATTGAGAAACAACAAGAGCCACCAAAAGAACCGACATCAAAATCAGCACCTGAAACCACAGAAATATCACCCGAAAGTGGAATTGGTTCTGAGGTGTCTGTAACTAGTACCATACCTGATATCAACCATTTTGATTCATCACAGGCAATCGTTGTAGATCAAATTGCCGACGCACCAAAAACTGAGGATCGTGAATTGGTTTTCATAACACATGTTGATCATCCGAATCGGTTTTACATTCAATTAAATTCCGACACCATTGAAATAAATTCGTTCGAAACATCATTGCAAATTGTGGCACCACAATTACCGGCATTGGCCGATTTTCGTGCTGGTCAACTATGCATTGCCAAATATACATTGGATGATCGATGGTATCGAGCTAAAATTATTGATACAGACGGTGAAATAACATCGATACTATTCATTGATTATGGTAATACTGATTCCATCACCGATAATACATTGTTGAAATCGATAATCGACAACAGTTTAATCGAACGTAAACCATACGCAATGAAATGTTCGTTGCCAATAGCACCACGTGGTTCTGGCGAGTGGGCTGAAAATGCATGTCAAAAACTTAGAATGCTCCACTCTGATGATTCACCATTAACATATGAACTAGTCAGCAAAGACAAAGATGTCAACTATGTGAAACTGTTCTTTGTCGGTGGACGTGATTTGGTGAAGGAATTGATTCAAGAAGAAGTTGCTGAACCATTGGAAATTATCCGATCGGGCGAAAAATGTTTCATAAGTCATATCAATTCATTGAGTGATTTCTTCATTCAAGTCGATTCGGATTCGGAGGTTCTACATAAAATCGAATTACACTTGGCCCAAAACAATAGTCCAACTGCGCCGAGTACACCAACAATTGGAACAATCTGTAGTGCACAATTTGAAGATGGTTTATTCTATCGAGCGCGAATTTTAAATGTTTTACCAGATGGAAAATATGATGTTGAGTTTCTCGATTACGGCAATACCTTCCAAACAAACGAAATACGAACGTTAAGCTCGGAAATCGCACAATTACCACTTTTGCGTAGGCAATGCACGATGAAAATGGCCGATAACATTGAGTGTTGGAGCGACGAAGCCGAAAAAAAATTCCGTGACATTTCTGGTGATGGTGCAACTGAATTCAAAGTGATAATGTCGAAACCCGGTAAAAGTGCAATCGTTGAATTGTACCTCGATGATCAAAATCTAACCGATATTTTGGGTGAATTATGTGTGAAAAAACAACCATCACTTCTGATAACAGCGGATGAGCAAGATGGTGCATCGAAAGAGGCCACATCACCACAACAACATTCGGTTAATATTACCGATTTTCCAAGTGGAAAACAAACATGTTATCTCACACATATTGAATCACCGAACGAATTTTACATTCAGTTCGATTCCAAATCGGCAGAATTAAATTTAATTCAATTGCAACTACTCAACGAACAAGACACACTTACACCGGATGATGTTACAGTTGGTTCGGTTATTGCAGCATTGTTCAACGATGATTATCGCTATTATCGAGCCAAAGTGCTCGAAAAAACTGCAAACGATGTTGTGGTCAAATTCATTGACTATGGCAATACGTGTAAAGTAACAAAGTTTCGAAAATTATCGAGCGTTATTGATACAATCATTCCGTTGGCCGCCCAATGCACATTGGCCAATGATCGAATGCAGCAATTTACCGAACAAGATACAAAAGTGTTTATGGACTTTCTGGCGGAATCGCCGGAGCCAACATTCCAAGTTGAATCGATTGGCATAACGACAGCCACCAAAACAATCGTCACATTCTATCGTGATGGCATGGAAATTCTTGATTACATTCGGGCTAAAGTCGCATCCGACGTCTTAGCGGATGTCATGGAGCAGGCGATTCATATACCTCATTAAGTCAACAGCATCATCTACATCGTCACCGATAAAAAAGAATGTATGACAAGCAATAATTACAATAATTTTTTTTCTTCTCTTTTTAAAATATTGAGAAAACTTTTCATAAAATCATCATATTTTTTTATATAACTTTTTTCTCTAGATAAAAAAAAATCAAAACGAAAATCAAACTTATTTACAAAGAAAAAAAAAATAAGAAGAAATAAAAGAAATTCAGACGAATGTCATTTTGATAATGAATAGGCAATAAGCAAAAACAAAATGCAAAATTCATTTTATTTATTGAAACAAACGGATATGCAAGAATCAATAAAATAAATTATCTTGAAAGAATAAAAAAAAATGTGAGTGGTTTTTCTCTGTGTTCAATTTTCTTTATTTTTGGCTTTAAAATCAGTTTTCAGGTATTAAAATACAATTAGCTAACAGTATTTTATTTTCATCTGTTTCGGTGTGTTCTTTTTTCACTTGTCGTCGATCGTCATTACGTTATAATTACAATCTAATTTCAAAAATTTGTTGTTATATGAAATCGTAGGTATCATTTAAGTTGTTTTTTTTTTGTATATTTTGATTTTCGACTCTTCTTCTTGCATTTATTTAGTTATTGCTTTTGCTAACACAACGCAGAGAAAAAAACTGCCATCATTTGCTTCGTAAAATGACATTTTTTTATTATTTTCTTAATAGTTAATTAATAATTTTATTCACGATGAATCATTAATATTAGTATACTACCTTATATACCAAACATAACATCGTAACATCGTGTTTGTTGTTGTTTTTGTTCGCTAAAAAATTGTGTAATTTGTATATAACACTTTTCTTATTAAATCGAGAAAAATAAAAAGTTTTCATATACCGTTCATGCAATTTTAATTTCGATTTTAATTGCTGCGACAGCAACAGTATCGACATATCAATGCCAACAAAATGGTAAACACTAAACTCAGTCCGGCCGCAATGAATAATAATTTGACATAAGGTACTTCGGTATCTTGACCTCGTTTACAAATGGCTGGATCTTCGTCGGTTAAATAACGTGCATGTTTTATTAAATTTTCATCATCTATATCGAGCATTTTCAAATTGTCACGAACATTTTGCTGTAGAGTTTCCAGTGTTGATGTCATTGTTACATTTGGGCAATTTAAAATGCCATTACATACTAAATGTTTTGGTATACAAACGGCCGTATTTCCGGGACATTTAAAATCACAATCGGAATCTTTTAAAAACGAACGTGCCAAATTACCATCAGGATTACGTGGCAAATGAAATAGTTCAGTCCAAAGAAGACGAAATGAATTACGTCCCGGTGTACTATCGCCGGTGTACATTATAACAACCGGTAGCGGTTCGTTGTCATTGTCGAGTGCTCCTAGTTCAGCTGCCGATAAAATGGCTAAACCATGTGCCAAGCTCACATTTTCTGGGCAAATGACAAAACGTGGTTCAAGACGACCGGCCAAATAAACTTCAATGCGTGCCATATCACATGATTTATCGGTAAATTCAGCTTTATCCAAATGCATCCATAAATCACGTTCACCGGCCACCTTAAGCTCCCATATGCATTTCTCTTTTTTCGCATGTTCACCTTGCGGGTGATGATAGTTTATTTTATTACGAAATGGAAATGATAGTTCACCATCGGCCGATGGTCCCAATGTAATTGGTCCACACATTGGACCATGGGCGAATTCATAATTTGCCTGAAACAATGGACTTTGATTTTTAAAGTAGCTATTTGTCGAATGTTGACCTTGTACAATCATTTCCAAGTTCATTTGTTCACCCGATGAAATGATGCGTACCGCTCGTGGTATATCATCACAAAAGCATGCCAACGGTTCTTGAGCCTTTTCACGTTCTTCCCATATGATGAGCTTATCAACACGTTCTTCATGACAACGTGTACATGTGTTCATATTGTATGGTAGCTCTTTGAATGTAACCGATGTCACTTCAATGAGAACACGTGCATACAACCGTTTATCGGTAATGAATTTGTATTGACAACGTAGATCAGTGCCAGTGGCTCGTTTGAAAATCAATGTATTCAATGGCGATCGAACGTGGCCGTGTGAATGTTTCCATGCATAAAATACTTCATCGCATATGGTATTTGGTATGGGTTCGCCAAACTTTGTATTATTAAAGAAATCATAATGGGCCCAATAATAAAGTGAACTGCCACTGTAGCTTCCGGTTTTACTATCGAAACGTACATACAACGAACGACCCGTACTAACAAAATCAATTTTCTCCATTGGTCGCGAAAATGTGTCACAAAATGTTTTTATAATACGTGCCGGATCAGCACGATTTGAATCATAAATTGTTAACGATTCAGCACAGTCCATATCGATTTTGACAATTGGCGCTTCGATTCGATTTATTCGAAAGCTGTATGTGAATTGAGAAATGAAAATAAGCAAACGAACATTATTTGGAATTCTAGTAGAGACATAAATCTATCCATCATCAAATTTATTAATAGTTAAATAAAACATTCACACGCCTCTATTTCAATCACTCCCTCCTATTTTATTCGCGCAAAAATTAAGCGCTCACATACACTAAATTATCCGTTCCAATTCACTAATAACAATTTCAATGTGATTGATTTCGATTGCTTTGTCAACTATATACATATTACGAGGACCGAAAACGATCGAAATTAAGTGAACGCGAAAAAGCAGAGGCGGCATGATGGCGACATCAGCAGCAATATAAACAAAAAAAATTGGCAAAAGTGAGACGTTTCACTGGATTGACATGTGCGCTAAGGGCGAAATGTTTGCATAATGACACAATGTACGTTGCCTAACATCAAGGATTTTGCTTCGTTACATCAGATTAAAATTTACATTTGAGCGCGCGCTCTTCACACGGCCAAATTGTGCAAGTCTATTCTATTGAATTGTGTCAAGTTCTATTTCATTCTTTTTTCAACGACTCCTGTGTTGCAACTACGTAATTTTATTTTCATCTTCATCATTTTATTCGTGCTTTGCTGCACGTTTCCATCTTTCAGTCCCATCCCCGTGTACTCTTTCAATCTCTTGCCGCCTGCCTCAATTCAAATCTCGTTCATTTTTTATGAACCAATTCATATTCTTTTTCTTTAGAATTTGATGTCGTTAACGGTGTGGATAATTCATTGAATAAAAGATAATTGCATTAGCGTTCATTTGAACTATGTTTCCTTTGTGCAACGAACTGAACAAATGGAAAAATAGTCACAAGCGCATAAAGTTTTTTTTTGCAAATTATTTTTCGGTGAATGTGTTTGTAGTACAAGAGAAAAAAAACTTTGTACCATGTTGCATACTCATTCATTTCATGGCAAAATAATAACATAAATGAAAAAAAGAACATATTGTGCTGTCTTTTATTTACAGTTCAAACGAGAGTAGAAAAAAAAGAATCCCGTTTTTTTTTTCATGCAATAATTTCATAAGCTAATGTAATTTTTCCATTTATCTCTTTCTATCTCTCTTTTGCACGCATTCTTCTGCCAAACACACTTGAAATATCGTTTTTTTATTTGTTTACATAAAGCATGTTGAATATGGCTCAACGATTTGTGTTATACTAGTTGCAATGCTTTATACAAACCTTGGGAAGTACAAACGAACGACTTCGCCTTCGTTTCCTTGAATATGATAGCTGCACGTTGTGTTTGGTGGATACCAATGTGCGATGCTCAAAAATATACCCTCCGATGCATTTGAATCCTTTAGCGCGTCCGAACTGAGAATCCAATCGCATGCACCGATACGACTTCCAACTGTATCTACGTGACCCGGCCAATTGCCGACATTAAAATGAAATCCCGTATTCAACAGCGGTCCCGCCGGAGATGATACAAATTCCACAAACATATGCTGTGATGTGCCTGTGATTATTAATGGCCAACAATTGTGTGTTATCGCTTTTGACCTAATTCGGTTTTTTTTTTCTTTATTTAAACTAGTAACTTTTTTATTTTGCTCTTCTTTCATTGTAATTGAATCAATTTTGAATGTTCCTTTTTTTTCTCCAAATATGATTGCGTATTTTTGTATTTCGATTGTCGAAAACAATGGCGAAAGAATTATCGAATGGATTTGTAAAAATGTTTGTTGTTGGTGTCATAACACACTTACCGATTATACTGTATGGAAACTTGCCAACGCCACAAAATTTTCCAATCAATGGTGCATGCTCATCTCGACCATCATAAACCGCCAACCAATCGTACGGACAATGATTGGAGCCAGATCCTATTTCACGCATTGGACATGTCATAATATTTTCGCAACTGCCAATAAAATTCGAAATGGAAACAGAATAACAACAAGAGAGCAATAAAAATATAATAATCACCAACAAAAGCAAAATCAGTGTCATCTCTCTCTCTTCCTCTTTCTCTCTTCTTTCTTTTTCTTTGTCAACTGTATTTTTTGATGATTTTTTTTTTCGTTGAAACTTTACATCTCTGTATCGGTCTCTCCGATCGAAATTCACTTAAAATCCAACTAGATACAGAAAATAAATGGCCAATGGAAAAAAAAGTAAAACAGTAGCAAAATGTTGCAACAAAAAATTGATGTCTATTGTTATATCAATCCATCAGATTTATTTTGGGCAACGTGTTGCAATAAAAAAGTGAATATAAATGCTCAACCCTTTTTTTATCGAACATTTTGTGATTTAGTGTCTAGTGTCTGCTTCTCCATATTGTCAATCAATTTCAATTAAAGCATAACCGAAAACGGAAAACACAAATTGACATAATAAATGTCGGTGTGGATGAGCATAAACGACCGAATGAACGAACAAGAAGTGGATGTTGCTGTTTTGGATTATCGCTCGCGTACTACTTCTCGCCTGCATTGATTGACACCATTGAAATATATAAACACTTTGCTCGTTCAGTAAACAAATCAAGTGTACAGAGAGAGAGAAAGAAATGGGAGATTACATGATGCCCATTTATTCCTAGAAAGAGAGAGAGCATCGCTCTCTACAACGAGAATGAATGCCGATTTATGCGGCCATAATCAACTGCTATCACGTCGTCGTCGTCGTTGTCGACAACAACACTACATTTGTATACATACATAAATTTATTAGATATCCTACACCTACCGTTGGCCATCCACAGAAAAATGTTCGTTTTGCAAATACAATTTGATAAAAGGTTGTCGCGTATGCAAGCGATATCGGCAGTTAAGCGCCCTCGGATACAGTCCCGGATAAGCTGGTGATTGTACGTAACATGTTTGAAGACGACAATCACGAAATTCTCGTTCACAATACGATCTGTTCAGTAATTGCCAACAGTATTAAACAATATAACATAATAAAACGCATCAATGAAAATAAATTCATATATTTCTTTCATTTTGGCCATTGCTTGTCAATTTGGCCATCGATGAGTTCATAATGATTGATATGTGTTAATATGAAATTGAAATAATAACATGTTTTTTCTCTTTCTCTGTTTTACTCACCCTTGAACTACCTCGCCTCTTCGATTTGGATAGAGTTCGGGATGTTGGCCATATCGCAAATACACCTCAATCTGTTGTTCGGCTCGTGAATCGAACGAGAAATAGGTCTAGCAAAAAGAAAACAAAAAAATAAACAATAGCAATCATCATCATAGTATCGCTGTGAATCCACATTGAACAAGACTTTTGACATGAATGTGCATAAATGTGAAATTAATTAATTTGGTTGTTCGTTCAATTTATTGAATTACCTGATCCGTGTAGTTTTCCGCAAAAAAGATGATTTTGACGTAACTGGTTTCACTAATGAACGTTTGTGGTTGTTCGGCTTCGCCGCAAAACATTCCCGGTTCACGTCGATTCGATACATCGGTTTTTGCATTTCCATCCACAATCTGTCGATTTTATTATTTTTTTTTTTGTTGCCGCATAAAACGAACAAATTCAGTTTGGTTAACAATGTTCTTGAAACAATAAATTGATTTTGAGGATTGAATTTTTGTTTCAACAAAGTGAACAAAATCGACAATGTTCACACAAAATGATGTACAAACTTTATCAAAAAAAGGTTATCAATAGGTCGTGCATTGCTTTCTTTTCCCATCGAGAAACATACTTTTTCGAAGGAATATCGAGAAAGAGCTTTTATTTAACTCCCGTTTTAATAGAAACACTATTTATAACGAGACTTTTGCCTTAAGTCCTTGATATATATCGAATTGGCAATTTTACAGAGATAAAAAAATGTTGGGAAAAAGCGTGTATTCACTCCCATCCATTAAAGCTTGCCGACGAAAATGAAAATAGCTGATCTCATCGAAAATTCACAGTTTGGTTTAAAATTGATCGAATTTTCTCATTTTGCAAAAAAAGTTTCAATAGATATCGATAAGATTGGAGATGGCTAGAGTAAAAAATGGCACACGTCGAAAGAAAGAAAAAACAAATTCCATTTATAATTCATCTATCATCGTAATGCAACATTATAATGATTATCGAGTATGTATGGTAAATAGAATTGAAGGATAAGTCTTTTCTTTTTGCTTTCTGTATTTTTTCTCGTGTTGCTTTCGATAGAATGGCTGCAATTCCATTTGGGAAGTGCATAAGCGTTTTGTTAGAACAAAAGACAAATTGTACTTGAGACAAAAGCACGAGTGGCATTGAGACGGATCGAAAGAAAAAAACGATATAAAAAGGAAAAAGGGGGGGGGGGAACAAAGTAAAGGTTTCGGAACCATTAAATCGAATATTTAATGGTAATGGCATAGATTTATACACATACAAAAATCTCAATGCCCTGCTCGAATGCAATTGCTTCGAATGTTCATCATTTGCCAATTATTCGCACGAGCGACTCTTTTGCTCATCATCAAGATATATGTATATATATATTTGGTCGTCAGCAAGATTAAAATCCAACAGAAAAGCTACATTCAAATCAACAACAATCGAAAGAAAACGAAGCGCGAGTTCAGAAAAAGAGAAAGAAAGGGAGAGAGAGAGAGTCTAAGAAAAAAATAAGTGAGGAGTCGACACATAATACATATATACAGATTTAGTGGCGCCCATCTTTCCATCACAAATGGCATTCATGACGCAGTATAGTGAAATTTTCCGCAGTTACACCAGTTACATGGCATGGATTTTAAACTTTATTCGGCAACAAAAATATAGATTGGCATTTTTAACGCTAGCGCACGTACTTTGATTTGTTTACAATCTTCTCTCTCTCTCCTCTCATTTTGTCTCCCCCCCCCACTCTGCATTCTCGTTTTTTTGTGGTTCTCGATTGTTTTTGCATGTAAAGAACCAGTGAAAAAATGGAAAAAGCATAGCAAAATGAGAGAGAGCATGAAAAATTGCCGTGGCTTACGAATTCGATTTATTGAATCGCCTGGAATTTTTCCTGCAGAGAATGTTTGTTTGTTCAATTTTTTTTATTCAAATTTTGCCTATCGATGGAATGAGATGGAATGAAATTGCTGCATGATTTACCTGCAAATATCCGCCATCACAGTGTGTTGCATTTAATATGTTTCCGACTTTAAATTTTTTGAAGCGAATTCGTAGTACCCAATCACGTGGTGTACCGCGATGGCTTCGAAATCGGTATGTGCACAATAACGGTCGATTTCGATTGGCATTCGTTAGTTCGGGCGATGAAACATCCTCGTAAATTTCCACCGTTTTATTACAATGGTCTTTAATATCAAGCACCCCTGCTTCTCCTCCCCTTGATGCTGTTGTACCAGATAGCACTGCGGACGCACACACCGCGAGTACAAAAGCAAGTGCAAATGCAGAGAAAAAGAGTGAAAATAAAAGCAATTGTTTGGCATAAAACGTTGTAAACAGCACAAATAAGCAAATAAAATCAGTTATTCTTTTATTTTTCTCCCGCTGTTCGCTCACTTACCTCCGCTCCTTTTTTGTGGCAATGGTTGTGTTGATGGTGCTATAATATCGTCATCACAATATGCCAGCGCAATAAAAATGTTTAAGCTAATTAAAATCCAGTATAAATGCTTGTGTTGAGCTTTCTTTAAACAGCTGGGTCTCTGTCTATTCCCTCCGATCCTTCGAAGCATGCAGCTCAATGGCGAATGTAGCGCAGATGATATTATTCTCGTCGTCATCGTTTTCGTTGTCGTCGGTGATGGTGATGATGATGATGACGCCATAATTTGTTGAAATGACATTGAAGCTTGCATCATGCACTCTCTTACAGTTGAAGGTTAAAATCGAACAATGCAACAATTGAAGAATGAAAAACGTCTACAAATCTTGCATGCACACACACACACAATTGTCCGCGTTTCAAACCAACAATTTCAACAAATAAATCCTTTCAAATACATACGCGGTGTATTTTGTTAAGAAAAAATAAACACTTTTTCAACTATATAATCGTTTAAACGAGTAAATACATCGAAATTCGTTAAACTCTTAACTAACAATGACCGTTGTGAATGTTCTGTCTCTGCTTACACTTTTGTCTCCCTATTGTCTAACACAAAATTTGTAATTTTTTTGTTTGTTTGTCTAGTGCAACTCACAGAAACATAAAAGCAATTTTGAGCACACACAAAAAAAAAGAAACCATTTACTATCTCTGGCCGAGCACACACAGAGAGAACACTTTTTCTTTCAATGGATTGGGAGATTTCACGCTCGTACACCATAAATCAAATAACATCCATGTGTATAACAGACATGGACCAATTATTCATCACTTTCTAGCGCACAGCACACATTTTTTTTTGTCTTTTGTGTCACATTTCAACATACAGAGGCAATGGAGCATCAGCTGTATTAACAAAGCAACAATAAACGGAAGAAATTCATTTGCGTGTTTGCACTTGATGCTATTTAATCGAATGAACCGACTGATAAACCAGCGGATCCAACAATACCGAAGCCGATCTTCAACATGAACAAAAACGTGAAAGAATAAAAAAAAGACAAACAAATCGGTCTCTCTGTCTCTCTACTTGGTCGGTGTATGTGCGGTTGTTTTTTAAGTGTTTCTCGTTCAACTTTTGTGTGGTAACAACTTCAATCGGGTGTGAATAAAATTGAGTCGAAATTTAGCTCTTCAATTATATATGGGTTTTGTTATCATCAATTTTAAACAATATATAGTATGTTCTATTTGAATTATTTTGGCATTTTCTTAAATATTTTAATCATTCGTCTGTTTGGTTTTTATTTATGTTTAGTTTTGTTTATTTGTTTTTGTTCGTTATTTCTCTTTGTCGATTTATATAAAGTCTCACAACCAATTTAAATGTCTAAAACACTGTCAACAATCGAACTGACGATAAATGAATGATATGCTAATGCGCGTCGCTGTTTTTTGTTGTTGTTGTAAATTTAAAGTGGAATGCAAAATTTTCCCTTAAAAATAAAGAAAAATCATTTGTGTGATAAAATTATCTAAAGAGAATGAACACAAGTGATTTGATTCGTCAGTTTTCTTTTATTTGTGTAGTTTTTGATGATGGACAACTCGGTTCTCTAACAGCGTTGAATTTGAACAGCAGCAGTGGTGGCGGCCGTAGCTTGAGCATGAAATTGAGCGAGTATTTTCATTTAAATTGACTGTGTTGCAATGAAATCGAATCGTTCCGTAACGGTGGTTTTTTTTATCTTTCTCTCCCTCTTCATTCGCGTATCATTCGAAATGCAACAATCACATTCGCAGCGATCCCGACGTTAACGAAACGACGAACGAATTACATGTGTTAAATGATGCGTTTGTATGTTTTTGGGTAGCGTTGAAAATACACGCAAAAATAAATGATGCGATTCGAATAACGACGACGTGTTTCAACAATTTCGGATTTGGATTTTTGTTTGGCTATTTCACGTTCTTGAATATTTTCACAAAGTCACCCAAAGCACAAATGAATTTCACTATCCCGAAGGAATCAGATAACAAAAACTACGAATTTCATCCCAAAAAAATGTATGGCAAATTCGCAAATCAAAAACCATAAATTGATTAATTATTTTGAAAGTGTTTTTATTTATTTCGAATGATTTTTTGTCTTTCAGTCTCTTCTGTTATTCATTAATTTTCGATCACAACGGCGAAATAATAAACATGTACACTAGCAATCTTTAGACGAATAAAAAAAACAACAACAAATCATTTCAGCACCAAGTCCGGTGATAGAGCGTGAGAGCAGCAAGAGCACCACAAAATAAGTAAAAAGCAAAGCGAAATCAGTTTGCAGAATGCATGTTATTCTTTTTCAACTTTGGATCCTGGCCTCTCTTGTCATCATGTCCGTGTGTATAGCATGCAGCTATCGCGCGGTATTTGATGTTTTGTGTATATTTTACACACTGTAAAAAGGCCAACACATATACACGCAACCACACACACACACACACATGCCAATACACCGATGGAAATTTACACACATGCTAGAGATAGAACCGTACATCGGTATCGCGTAGAATTTTGAAACGGGGGCAAAACCATAGCAGTCAGCATCACATAATCATGTTATCATCTTTACGAGTGGTTGCTGAAAAACGGGGGAAAACACACCGATGAGCGAATAAGAATGAATTGGATAAAATGAAATGCGAAAATTGGTGAAGAGAGAACGAAAGAGCGAGAGTCAGTTAAACGAGTAAAAAAAAATAATTCAAAAACAACGAAGAAAAAACGAGGGAAAAAATCGCAAATCAGCCAGTTTGAATCTATCTTGATGTAGGAGACTGTTGAGCTATATGTGGTGCGTGTAGTTGTGCGCGCGCGCTTGTTCGCTTGTTGGGTACACACTTTTCCATCTTTAAGCCACACATTCACAGTCAACCACAACACACAGGGCTACAGAGCTACAGAGAACTTTCTGCCCCGACTTACGGCTTGAAATTTGTGATAACCGGGAGCAAAACATCGTAGTGGCGCATCATAACAATCGGCATATAACTTTGGTGACGAAGATATGAAGAGAATGACAGAGAGAAGGCGAGAAGGGACACACGCAGTGTATGTTTCAGCAAAATCGACGTTTAGTAAAGTATGCGTTGGCAACGTTTAACCGAGCAACGAAAAAAAAACAACATCTACTGCAAATATTTACTGTATGCGATTGCCTTTGTTGTTGCGTATGCATAGAGTAGTTTCGATGCCGTTTGGCAGCCAACATTTGTACAAATTGCGTGTGTACGATGGATACATCCATTTTAATCGTTTATTTATGATATGATTTTCTATTCGTTTTAAGGTCATTCAATAGACCACTTTAACCTACAAACCGCAGTATTCCATTTTCATTCCTTTGAAATATTTATTATATTTGGAGCTTATGCGGTATGGCAATCAATTGCACCTATGCAATCAAAGAATGTCACATTTGCTTTTTACATTCTCCTTTTGAATCGTTCTCATTTTCTTTGTTGGTACTTTATCTCTCTCTCTCTCACACACACTTTCGTTTGCATGCTCGAAAGTGTTTCATATTTATGCCGTGGGTGATGTGTACCATATGCATACCAAAAATAGTGCATTTATCCTGAAAATAGAACTTTTTTTTATGTGTGTGTGTGTTGTTGGTTGGCTGTTGCAATTTTAAATAAAACACTTTGGTCATTTGAATGTATACGCATATTTTTATTTGTAGAAAAAATGAAAACACAAAATTGAACGTAAATAAATACAGAAATAAGGAAAATTAACACAGAGTGTGAAGAAAAACGAATCAGAGTAACGGAATAGTTACAAACGGATAAAAATATACTAAATCCTATATCGAAAATATTTCAAGCATTTTTAGTTTTCGATCAAATGTCATTTTTGTTACATCTTGTTAAGTGTATGTATTGAAATAGATATATTCGAATTTGTTCAATCAGCGTTTGTTGCTTTAGACATACTCATTGTGTTTATCAAAATCAGATCTGATATCATTTTTTTTCGTATTTCTCATGTTCTATTTTCTGCTTTTTTTTTCACACATAGAATCCTAAGATCGATTGAACATATATGTTGCTGCTTATTTTTTTTAACTTGTAATTAATCCGTTTGCTACTTTTCCATTATTAAATCCATTTGTTTATGTTTTTTTTTTGTTATCTATAGCATTTGTATAATTGCTGCGAACATAATACAAAAATATTCGATATATATAAATATATTTTTAGTTGCGTTTTTTATTCGTTTTGTATTTTCACGATTTTTTTAAACTCTTTTTTAGCGTTTTGAATTTTCAATGCGATTCGCAAAAAAACCCATTATTTTTAAACAAAATGAAAACAAAAAAGAAAACTGAAGAAGGACTGAACAGAGAAAATTTTGCTTAATTAACACATTTTCCTCGAAAAAGAGACTGAATTAGACAGACTAAGCCTATAGCTCTTTTTACGATTTTTTGTTTCATTGTTTTTTCTCTAAATATGTTGTTTGCTATGGAGGGATATAGTTAAACAGTTTTTTTTTTTCGTTAATGTATTGATGTAACGAATTTGATATTTCACGAAATTACAACGTGAGATAAGACTAGATTTGTTTTGGTTGTTCATTTTCTTTTGTTTAAAATTCATATTTGTTTTGGTTTTTTTTGTAACTGGCGCGCATTCTATCGTATTTTCTAAATTTATTTGAAATGAGAGATTTGTGATGTATGTGTTTTGCAATAAAAAAAACCGGAGGAGGAGGGGAACAATTATATTTGCACAATAAACTCCTGTTCCAAGTTATATCATATCATATTATAAGCTCTTTGCAACCCGTTGCCATTGCGAATTGTTATAATTTACTACTATAATATTTAATTTAAAAAAGAATCTATTACGTTCTGTTCCTATAAAATAAACAAAAAAGACGTGAAAAAACATAAACAACAAATGGGAATCGCGAAGAGCGCATTAAAGCATTGCGGCTATTCATATCTAATAATTCAACGCTCTTCGTCAATAAAAACACATGAAAATCAGCGAAAAATAAAGATTTTTCTGGTCTAAAAATTGATAATTCAAACAAAAAAAAAAAAACGTTTATTTTGAACTGCGCATCATTTTTGCCGATTTTTCTCACTTTTCTTTATTTAAAACTAAGCACTAATATTATTTAGTTGTTTTCTTTCTCTTAATCATTTTGTTGTTGTTATTGTTTTGTTCGGATTTGTTGCGAGTGTGTGTATCATTTCATCAATATAATTTGTCAAAAAAGGCTTTTAAGCATTGTGTAAGCATCGCAGCTTTATTTTTTTTTTGTTTAAGATACACATACTGTAATTCATAATATATATATATAATTTTTGTTTGTTGTTAAATTTAAATCGCATTTTTTTCTTGTTTTTGTCTGTGTGCTTTAGCTTAAAGTGTAATTTTTTTGTTTACGTAATCTGTTTCATCTTTGTTATTCTCATTATAATTTAATTTAAATGCCTAAATACATGTATATAATATACTATGTTTGTTGTTGTTTGTTTCATTAAGCATGCACCCTGATGGCGAACGAACGATTTTGGTGTATGTATAGATATACTCTGAAAAGCAATTGCTGGCTCCCGTTTGAATATTAGATAATTGTTCAAAATTGTTGGTTCGTATGAAATTGATTTAATCTTATCATCTAATATGTGAAGAAGAAGGCGTTTGTATGCGAACAAAAATAACACTGTGTGACTAGAGCTGGACAATTTTCACCATTTGCAAAAATATCCATTTTAGAATAACAATCGCAAGCCAATTTCATAAGGAATAGATTTTTTTGTTATTTATTGTTGATTTGGTGGAATTTAATGTAACACAGCATTTGGAATTTGATTTATTTTTCTCTTAATAATTTGTTATAAGCATCGCACGAATGAATGATTGAATGGAAAAAGTAATTTTTCATTTATTTTAAAGATGAGATATATATTAATACACATTTGTTTTGCTGTTGTAAATACGTAGTATTCATTCTGCATTATATCGATGGCTATTTTCTTAGCTTATGATTGCAATATATTTATTAAGCTGTATGTGTGTTTTTTGTGTGGGTGTAATGTGTTAGAGAGAGAAAGAGTAAATTGAACGTCTTTAATTTTGTTTCGTTCCACATTTATGTTGACTGAGACTCTAAGGTCTAAATTCTGCAAATGTCTTGTTTATTACATGGTTTTTGCAATAGTACCTCATTCAACGCAAATTGTGTTATGTAAAAACAGCTTTCTTTTGGTAAATATCTGGTGGCTGTTAAACATTTCTAACGGGGCAACTATATCTACCATTCATATGCAATTTTGTACAATCTTTTTTTCTTCTTCCATTTAAAATAATATTGTTTCCTCTTTACACTGACATATACCATGTTTCTTAACATAAATTAAGGTAATAAGAGTACACTATTACTGGCCCCCATCAATGTGCTTAGTGTGCATTCATACGTATTAATGCAATAATTTGTCTTTCAAACATTTTGTTGTTTCATGTTGTTTCCCTTTTAGCTATTTCTGTCATTATTATTATTATTTTGGGGCTAATTCAAAGGAACACCACATTTGTTTTGAACACAATTTTTTCATAGCACCTTTTAACGTTCGTACATTTTTCTTTTAAACTCTACTCTCTTCCAATCAAACTCAGTTCGGTAATAAAACAAAACTAATTATTGATTTAAAAAAAAAGACTAAACTAAACTAAATTGTATCTAAAAAAAACGTCAAAGCCTTGTATGATGAGTATTCATTTATTCTCTATGAAAAGAATGATATTTTTCTTCGTAAAGAAAATTAGCTCAATAAAATTCGTCGTAAAAACGAAAGAGCTTTCGAAATTTCTAACATTTGAACATTCATTTTGAACCGAAAATTTGAATAGAATTCAAATTTGCCAAAAGATTTACATTAAAATGAACACGATGAATGGGGTGTAAAATGAAATACTTTATGATTGTGGTGTATGATATGTAGCGCATAAACATTTGAAGTAAATGCAAAACGAAAAATAAAATTCATTTAAAAAAATTGAAACTAAGACTTAAGAGAATATCAAGTGTTAATTGAATTATAAAAAGAACTCTACCAAATAAAAGTCTCATTATGAAATTTGGAGTCATGAAGGAGTGCGTGTGGTTGTTTATTTAATCCATTGATGTTCTATGGTAAGTGTTGCTAATTTGCTTGAAAGAACAATTTTCGCGCGAGATTGAGTGAATGTTAATAAGCTTTGCATTTTTGTTTTTTTTTTTTGGTTTTACAGACATTTTTCATAAATGATTTTTTTTATTCATCTTGTTTCTTATTGAATACGATTATGTTCAAGTGTTTTGAGTGTGTCTGTGTTTTTTAATGAACAAAACAACGATGCACTAATTTAAGCCTAGTTTGCAAAAGCGTCGATAGCAACAATTTTTTTTTCTCAATTTTTTTTTTGTTTCGAATATCAATTGTGAGTTTTGTCTGTGTATATATATTTTTGTGTTGACTTTGGTATATTTTTGTTCTGTTTTCAATTACATATAATATTCTTTGGTTTTCACTGTGGTTTTGTGTATGTGTATGTGTGTAATTTTCATCTCTATATTGGATGAGCGCAAAAAATCGAATTCATTTTTTTTTTCATTTCAAATATGTATTAAAATAAAATCTGTTTAAATTTTTCGCTATAGATTTTTTATGTACACCTAATCATCGCTAAGCACATTTAAATAGTTTAAATTTTTTTTTGTTTTTTTTTCTCTTTCATATAACATATTGATATTTGTTATTTTTCTCTCTCCTTGTTTTCTTCTCTCTTTGACTTATTGGGTAAAATGTTGTTAGATGTATGGTTTCTTTTTTTCTCGTAGCAATAAAATGTCTGACTCCAATTAAGAATGGTTTTGTCATCATATATCCCAACATATCGAATTGTTTCTGTCGATGCATTCTTATTTAGTGAAAAGTTGAAGCAATTTATTCTAGTTGAATAGCATGGCATTGGTTGTCTTTTTGTCGGTGAGCACATTTTATTCGTAGATCACCGTTAGTTAAGGGCTACGATAATCAAATATTCGTTTATTTGTTAGTGGTGATTGAAGATGACGATGAGGTATAACTTCTCTCTCTGCTGGCAGTGGCCACAACTCCTGAAAATAAAACGAAATACAAACATACATGATTAGTGCACCGAATTACTCAATGAAATGTTGATTGTTCATTTTACGGAACAAAATCTATAAGTGCAAAACTAACTAGGATTATATGGTTTGCTTAACTGGTTCTTTTTTTTAATTTTTTGGTCATTCTATTAATAACGAGATATACACAGAGGGAAATTCAGTTTTCCTTTGTTAAAATATTTTTTGTTTTGTTTTCAAAAACATCTACCCTACTTAAAGATGCATGTTTATGAATGAAGCTTACATTTGGATTATCTTTTAAATGGCCATCAAATGCACACACACAGAGAGAGACAGAGAGTTTAATTTGTAATGACTGTATTCAGATCATAATGATTGTATTGATTGTTTTGTATTTTTGGTTTTGGTATTGATTTTCGGTTTTGATGGTGTTTTGAAATTGTTTGTTTGTTTTGGTTTGTTTTTTTATCTAGATGTGGTTCGATGCAAATACCTGCAGAGATTTGGCTCGTTCTCAGGAGGAATTAGTGCGATCTTTCTTATTCAATGATAATGTATTCATGAGATTTTTAATTGTCGCTCCGATACCTTTGTTTGGTGTTGTCGAATCGCTTGACAGTCGACTTTCGGGATGAGCATCCAAGCACTTCTGATAGCGTAACTACAGATTTTCGTTTTGTTTTATTTATCACATTGAATCAGAAATAGATAAATATATTTGGATGAAGAAATAAATGAATGTCGATTAGAAAACATTAAAATTAGATGCATGCAGCATGTATGCTGATGTAGTCAATTTTATACAGTCTGTTTGAAATATATGTAATACAGAATATGCATGTGAAACTTACTTTGCACGCTGCTTCAATTGTTTTGCACAATGCACCGCTCGATGGTTCGCACATGAATACATGGCATACGAATCTATCTTGTGCCGTGTGCATAATGAATGCACAATTTTTTACATTTTTTCCAATGCCTAGAAAACTCAAATAGCGTACTCGACATTCCGCTATTAATCTATCGTCCTGTTGTTGTTTTTTTTTTTTTAATAAATGAGGGTTGAGCATGAGAGGGAGAGAGAGATAGACAGAGCAAAAGATATAAAAAAAGTATTGAATGAAATGGTGTTGATTAATGGATTTCTAATCGAGTGTGTAATTTATATAATGACGGTTTCATTTACCTCGGAGCTATTTATGCTAATCATGCTCGGTGCTACGGCGACATTTACATTTTCCCATAGTTCCGCTTTTGTTTCATTCAATGTGGTTTCAATGGCTGAATTCAGGATATCCATGCCAGTCGGTTGGCTTACCTCCATTGAGCCCAAATACTGTGCTTTCAACACTTTTTTCGGTTCTTCCATTGGCGTTGGAAACGATTGCGCTAGTGAATGGATGAACAAAAAAAAATTGTATTTATAGATACATTCTCTATCTCACGATATATAGATAGACCTGCTGCTGCAAGTTTATATATTTTATTACACGGTATATTTGATTTTGATTTTCGATTTCAGTAAATCGTGCACTGGTTTGTTGAATCGGAATTGAGGCGCAATCAGTTCATATATTTATTTAGTTTTTTTTTTTTCATTTTCGAATGCCATCAAATAAATTTGAATCAAGTTGATTCTCTATCTCGTATCGATACGTGTGCACTTACCATGTCTAGCCCAGCGTCGATTCTCCGTTGGTAAATCGGTAGGTCGTGTAGCGCAGCGTGATTCGTTTGCATGCATGCTACTGCTATTCGAGTCTATTTGCAACGATCGCTCAATCATTATTCGCTTGCAGATATCACTAAATGGGCGAGGTAGCAAGTAAAAAAAAAACACGAAAAAAAAACAAACCATTTGAAAGAACAGTAGGAAACATAAAAAATCATGCAAATTTTGTTATTTCACTCATCCACTTCTTTGCAGTGTGGTTTTTTTTCAATCTGGTTAGCATACTCTTGTCATTTTGTTATTTGAATTTAGAGCTCAAATGGATTATTACCGTAATGTGTTTGCAATGGTTCTAGCAGCCGTATCACAACGAAATACATGACACATATGAATCCGTGTTAGACGATCTCGAGCCACATATGCGAAATCCCTGTAAAATGAACAAAAATACATTTTAACATGAACGAATGCGAACATCAACAAAAATCATCATCATTAAATTTATTTATAAATAAATATGTCGATTGCATTAAATGTTGTTCCCTCTCTCTCTCTCTATTCTTCAGTTATCTATTCGACTTATTTTTGTTTTTTGTATTTGCATTTTGCATTTCAAGTGGACAACGATGAGTAAAAGAAAAAAAAACGATCATTTCATTTTATGAAAATAATAGAAAACATAAATTCCCATTCTGCAATCTTTATAATGCAAAATGGCCATTTGAAATGAAAATGGAAGATGATTGCAAACAAAATAGCTTCGAATCGACCAATTTTTTTTGTTTTTTTTTTTTTTTAAATTACCTTTCACTATAGGATTTTCGAATGTAGCACGCGCGCATTCAAGCAGCATGAGAAATGGGAGAGAAAATAATATTCAAAAATGATATTTGCACTTCATACTACGTTTTTTTTTTGTTTTATTGTTTCGGATAGCATGAAATGCATATGAAAGTGTGTTTGTGCATTTATTCTGATTAATAATTTCTGATCAGAAGAAGAAAATGCAAATTAACGCGATCAAAAAATATTGAAAATTCTTACCGTCCATTGTCGCGTCCAACACCCCACACTCGAATCGTGTGAATCGGTTGTGTATTGAGTATTGTCAAATTTTCAGGATCTATTAGTTTTAAAGCACCTTCATCTAAATCCATGAATAAGTCTTTACCCTGTATATTTCGATAAAAAAAAATCGCATGACAAATGTACTTGGATCGAAAACGAGACACAATAAAATCCAACTTACATCTCCCCATCGTCCGACAACATCAAGTAAATCGTTGCGTCCGAGTGACAAATCAACAATACATTTATTAACGGCCTTTGATGAACGCTCTGGTGTTAAATCTTCTTCGGCTATTTCAACCCAACCCAATGATCGAACGGCAAATCGTATTGGACGATCCGAATCTGATTTCAATGGATAACTCCTTCGTCTGAAATGTTCCAAATGTATTAAATAACACTTGCATACATGCATTTTTTTTTGCTGTGGAAATGAAAATTGTTGGCTTACTTTAAAACTAAGTCTTCTCTTCGGCGTCGCTCATCATCCAAATCTAATGCAGAGCTTGTGTTACTTCGTGTGACTGATAAGCTTTGTGTTTCCTGCAGAAGAAAAAGAAGAAAATTGAATTAAGACAATCGGATCCGATGGAAGTTTTGCTATTCGAGTCGATATAGCATGTAGGAAATCAACAAAAATAACGAAATCAAAAGAAAAAAGTTATCAAATGACCTGTGTTCGTGCATTAAATCCCATGCCAGTGTTGTGGTATTGTGAATGTGGATTGAATTTTGTTGCCAACGATGATGTGGCTTGTTGCATGTGCATCAGTGATGGTGACTGATTCAAGCCGGACAATGGTGTTTTTATGTCAGTTTGTGATGTTGCCGTTGGATTCTCTTTGGGAAATAGCGGCGGTTCGCGTTGTATTGTACCGGATTTTATATGCCAATAATATGGTCCATCACTGTCTTCATGCTTTTCCCAACCGAATGGTAAATCTTTGTTTTCATCTTTGTCTTCGATCGATTCACTTGCGTGTTTATTATCGCATTCATCTTTATCATCCTCATCCGATGTTACTTCATAAACTTTGCTATCATTTTTATCGATGATACTGCCACCACCACCGCCGACGTTGCCAGCCAATGATTTAACTGTTGATCGCTGCTTATTTGGCAATGCATATAAATCATCTGCATTCAAATCACCCGAAACATGTTTTATCTTTGCATGCGGATTATTGTCGTCCGACAATAAGTTGCTATCCGCGTTCGACTTTAGATCATGTTTCTCTGGCACCTGATCCGATTTTCGTTTCAGCTCCGAAGGTGATTGAGCATCTAAAATGCTCTCCTTTTCGGGCGTGCTGCAAACAAAAATGTATCCATAGAAGAGCGAATTAGAAGATTTAAATGCACAAATAAAATATGAAACGTATGAAAAGCATTGACCGCAAAATTAATATATCGCATACCTGTGAAAATGTTCCTTTAAATCGACACCCATTGAGCCAATATCAAGACGTGCGTAGTCTTTACGATTGCTAACAATATGCGATTTTCCCGTTGTTGTTCGAATTGTATTCTGTTGTTGAAGCTCGGATAATATCTCTTCATATAAATGTGAATTGCTTTCTATGCGCTGCGGATCCATGTGATAATTCGGATTTTCATAACTCAATAAACCATTTTCTGTAAATGAAATCATAAAAAATAGCATTTCATTTATAAATACGATATTGTGTGGTTTTGTTGTTTTTTTAATATTATTTGATTCGTTTCATTCCTGGATTTAAATGTCTGTAGGTGAAAACCACAACCCATATTATGCGCATTTATTGTAAAAGCGATTTTATTCTCTCGCACTGTTTGACAACGACAAATGCGAGCTTAATAGGTTAATTGCTTTACATAGCTAATGTCGACAGAAAAGCGGCCGGAAAATGTTCACAAAAAATCAAACCTCATACCCAACAAAACGAGTGAAATCATGCTTTTGTAGAGCTAACATTCTTATGTCTTTGCTGCTATCTTGCTATCTACTTTTCATTTCATGTTTCAACGAATAATAGATGAAATTTTCACGGAAAATAAAATGAATTAGAAAATACACGAAAAACCAACAACAACGAACACGACGTTGAAAACCTGCGATGTGAAATATGCAAGTCGGAGTCGTCAGTTTCAGGCGAAAATTTATATAGAGTCACACTCATCGCAGCGCAGAGTCAGAACGACTGGCGCCTAATATAAATAAAATTTCATTTTCTTTCTCATTCCAATTCTCATTTTTGTTCGACTTGCTCGGTTACAATTGCCATCGTCGTTCTCTTGCCATTTTTTTCCAGCTTTTTTTCCCTTTTCACTCGCAGCAATTCATCGCCTGACTCATTGCCTCCGCCGACGTCGCCATCGCCGACACCGTTCTATGTATATTGCATGTTTCGATCGCTGGCTGACTGTGTGCAGCCGGTTTCCGCTTTTGCCGGGTGGAGAAAACCAAAAAAAAAACAAAAACACATTCACCTCAATACTTTGCTACCATTTGTACAGAAGGTAAAGCGTCTTTTTTTACAGCCGTCACTACCGATACCATCACAATGTCTCGCTACCGTCACAACTTCTAATCGTTGTGATTTAAAACCAATGCAATGGCAAGTTCAATTTAATGCAAACCTGATTTGGTTAACATTTTCGCTTAATTCGATGTAAAAGTTTTCAACATTCAATAAAGCTTGCACAGACATACAGGCACATCGTATAATCAAACCCAGACACATCACACGACTTTGTGAATAGAAAGCGGAAATGATTTGTTCAACGTAATAAATATTGATGTTTAAATATACATAAATACCATTTTGATTCATCATTTCGAAACGAAAAATGAAGTGATGGCAAATATCAAATGAACTTGGATCTTTAAATGATGACATCAGAGGCGATATGCTTAATCAAATTACGTGCCAATCATTTTGTGGAAAATTCAACAAATCAATTTTTTTACCATTTAACAATGAACCATATTCACACATCGAGTGTGAACTTTGACAGTGACAATCTGTTTTTTTGTTCGTTCGATGAAGGTGTATAAGGCAAAGTAGCACGCGCGGACACTATTTCCGTTCCAAATATTACGCTGTGCATGTTTTTGGGTTCATGTTTGCATTTAGCACTTTTGTCAATTATTAAACCACCATTTCATTTTCAAGGACCAACCAAATGATGATTCACAAATTCATATTTTATGCATACGAAAAATCGATTTTACATTTGATACCCGGTTCGGTTGTTTCGATTCGAAAGGCACTGAAGAAGAGCAAAAAAAATGAGGAACTTTCCATCGCATTTTATTTTGAATGAATTGAATTTGAGCGGTGGCAGAGGCAGCAGCAGCAGCAGCAGCAATGACGGCGACAACAGGAAGCATATTCGTCGTATTAAAATGAATGATTTAATCGGTACATTCATTGAAATTCATATTCAAGCATGAAGATAGAGAGCTAATTTGGAACAAAATAAGCACCAAAAAGCCATGAAATCAGGCTACTTTGGCAATATTAAACGAAACGATACAGTCGAATGCAATTGTCATACAACAAAAGCACATTATATGCAAACGATTATATTCAATAGGATTTCAAAATTGCCATACGAATGAACTCGAAATATTCAAGAAATACGGAAATTCTACATTCCAAAAAGTGAATGACAGCAACAACAACAACAACAATAACAGAGTAATGAGAATACGTTTATATCGGTATGTTAAAAAAGCGCCGAGAGCGGTAAAAGAGAAACACTCCACTCTCTCAGCCCTACCCTCAACAGAAAGAATTGTCAAAATCGAAGGAACAGCGCACCGAACAACCATTGACATGTTTGAAAATCGGCAACATTATCAAAAATATTCTATGCGTTTCGACTACTTGTCTTGCATAATAATAAGCGATATGCGAACCATTTCTGCTCGTTTTACACATTGATCTGTACAATAAACACATCCATATTCATATTATTGATTGCAAATGTTATTTTGAAATGACTTGTGCATGCCGAGGGAGAGCGGACGGAATGGGTGAACGAATGCGAGCGGGCTCGTGTTCATGTATATCCCGAGATGAAGAACGTTAATACCAGTTGGCCATAAAGTGCCATCAGAATCAAGCAGAGGAACGGAAGAGAAGAAAAAATGACTAAAATAAATGATCTCAATAAGAAAGTTTTGCCCTTATATTTTCTGGTTTTTTTTGCTTCTTGTAAAAGGGCGGCAGAATATTTCAGTGAAAATGTGTGCTCGAACGCGCGACGGTTTGCCTTTTTTTTTTCCTTTCTGGCTCATTTCAGTCACGCTAATAATTTCCGAATCGGAACACAGAGGTCAAATACGTGGTATTTACATTTCATATCTAAAAAGATGAGATGCGGAGAGAAAAAAAATGCACGAAAATATGAGAAAATCCAAAAGAGAAAAAATAGAGCAAATACAACTATACACATTTCTTGTACTGCTGTACATGTACATTTCATTTTATATTATTTTTCATTTTCTTGCTCAATAGGTTGTTCGATTTGAGTGTTATTGAAGGCAGAAAATTGCGATAAAAGTTTTATCAAATAGTTCGGCAGTCGATTGATAACGCCTATTGTGCTGAAATGATGGATTTCCACTTCGTTTGCATACTTGATCTTTTATGATATTCGAGATGGGCAATTCTTCATATCATATGCACCTCTCAAATGGCTATAAAGCTTTAAGAGTCATAAGGAAGAATGGAGCACAGGACGAGAGAGAGGGAAAAAATCGTAGATAAATTCGATTTTGTAAGGCTATAGATCGATTATAGTTCCATTATTCATTCAATTTACAGCCGGTGCCATTTCCGAGTCATGGTTCATGACGTATTTGTGGTTGTTTCGATTTTTCATGTTAATCTGGACGTTATTGATTTTATTATCGAACATCGAACGACAACAGTTAACTATAAACAAAAACTTCAATTTGTAATAATCAAAAGCAATTTAATTCACACATTTACCGGCCCTCTGTGTCGATGTATATGTGTACGTACATCGAAACATGTTTGGTTACTTTTGAAAACATGTGTGTCAATTGTTGTTGTTGGTGGTGAGGGGGGTGGAGGCGATAGGGTTAGTAGTGGTTGTTTGCTTCGACATCAAAGATTAGTATAAATCGTTGAGCTCATTGCAAGGTGAGAATTAAATGAATCCTTGGAAATGAAATATTACAGCAGTCAATTCTAAACGATGGCTAAGTATTTATAGTCAAGTGTTTCTTGCATGGACGTTTTTTTTTTGTTTTAAATTGTCCACAAATTGGCAGCTGTCGACACTGTGAGAAATTTTAAACGTTTGAGTAAAGAGCGCATTGTAGTTGTGCTGAAACACTTTAAGACGATATGTGTGATCCACACAGAAACACAATGCCAATGAAACAATGCAAAATCATAAGTTACCAACACACATCAGTTCAATCTAGAAAAAAAATCAATATCTCGCCAATTCAAGTAAACTGAATGGGCAATGCAATCATAGAATCGGCCGTCGTCGGTGCCGTGCAAAATGGATACACCCTTTTGAGTCAGCAATAGCAACAATTGCAACAATTGCATCGACATGCAACTTCAATTTCTGCTATTTCATTTCCATCCATTTCGTTTCGAAGGAAAATTAATTTGATTTTTCTAATTATAAATACTCTAACCATGGTGGAATTGTAAGTGAGTGAGTGTGTATGTGTATGTGGTTGCTCTGTCATTGGCTAATGTCAATGTTATTTTATAAACGAATCGGCCATTGTCAATGCCTAGTCAAAGAAATTGCACACGATGTTGTCGTAAGCTTTTTCATTTTCATTTAAACTTAATTTTAGGGTTCATATGTGACGTCTCTTACGTCGTAAATAAAAGACGAATCTAATTATTTGTAAATGAGAGAAATTGAAAAGAGCTTTAATCGAAGCTATATGATAACATCTTATACATTTTTAATATGATGTTGAGCACAGAGCAACGATTACTTATTCTGATTGTGATACAGAATTCATGGGAATCCTCTGTTGTTGATGTAGTCACCAAAAATTGAGATACAGAGATTGAAAAACCATTGAGAAAAACATGTGAATATCCATAGCAGCAACAGACTGATTCATTTGTTTACCTTATCGCTGTCGGATAGTCACTCACGTTTTACAAATGGAATGATCTATATAAATCATGAACATTTTCATACTTTAATACCACTTTATTTGCTGTACATAAGCTGAAGTTGAATCAAATATCAAGATACGGAATGCATATCGTGCAAAGACGACCGAATGAGGTTTTATCGTAGACAAAGTTGATAATCGTTGTTCTTAATGAGTTTGTAAAATAGATTTTTAATTCAACAACCGTAAACAATTCAAATTAGAGTGTACAACAGAGAGTGAGAGAGAGAGAGACGGAGAGAGCGGGAGGGAGAGGCAGACAGAGAGAGTGAGTAAATTGTCTGTGTCGGTTTTTACTTGATTGTTTTTCGACTGTTAAAAACTCATTTGAATGGTTGTTGTGGGCTGTTGAAAAGACGCTCGTACTCATTCATTCGCTTATTTTCGCATTGCATTGTTTAAACGGCCCCTGACGGAGACAACAATAAAACCAATGGGTTTCAATTTTATGCAGGATGAGAAAAAAAAGAACAAATAAAACATTCATTGGCAACCATCTATCGAAAAGGAAAATTGCCCATCACAACAGTTAAAAAAATAATAGTAATAATACACCATCGCCACAGTGTGTATACGAATCGGTGTGTTGTCGCATGCAGCATATCAATAAAATGAGAGATGTTGATTTTTTATGGTCCGAAACAAAACAAAAACACACACACACACACACAACATCACAAAATAATATACAAAGCTTGTACAAATAAAACGCAACGTCATTTTGATGGACACGTTTTGCATGTACTCTTTCACTCTGTTTCTCTCACCAGTGTGTGTTTGTGTGCGCGGTATTGTGTATTTGCAAAAGGCAACGCACACACACACACATGTACACGGTTATTTGTGTTTATTTTTTATTTATGAAGATCCAATAAATGTAATAAAGTCACGCACCATATTGTTTTCACATATAAGTCCTCTAATATTAATATATATGAGAGTGTGCTGTGTATGCATTTATATTTCGGTTCTTCTCGTTATTATTGAAATGTAAAACATGAACGAACAACAAAGACGGTGAAAGAAAAGGAAAGAGCCTTTCTCTCTCTCTCTCTCTTTTTTTGCTCGTAAAAAGGACCAGCGAAGGAAAAGAGTGTCGTCTTTGACTACAGTGAAATCCGTGTGATTATAGAAATAGAATTTAGCTGGAAGCAACAAATAAATTATGCGCGTGTGACAAAAGCTCAAACAATAGAAAAAACGACAAGAGAAGACGAAAAACAGCGACAACAATAATTTGAAACTATAGAGTGAGATAGAGAGAGTGAGAGTCAATGGGGATGAAATTCGTTCATGTTATTCGGTGAATGTAGACATTTCTTGCGTGTTAAAATGATTTGATTATCACGGATATGCGTGTGCTTGTATCCATTTGTGCCATGTTCAACCGCCAAGAATATCGGACTAATTTTCGTTTGTTTACATTTAAAGCATTCATATTTTCTTTCTCTTGGATAAACCCTCATTACGTATGAACGAAAAGCATACGCGTATATCAACAACAACAAGTGCACACTCGGGTTTGGATATGAAAAATGGTAAGTGCTGTGTTTTAAATAAGAAATGCTTGTTTTGCACATCCTTTTTTTCTCTCTCTGTCTATGAGTGTCTCTTATTTTTCGTCGTAGTTTGCACGGTTTCTATTCTCTTCCGATTCCATTTACAATTGCTTTATTTATTTTTATTTTTGTTCCTGTTGCCATTGTAAAAAGGGAGGATGGACGACACAAATGGAGCACTCGACACGAAACATTGTACTACAATTTTCAAGCACTTTCAATCGCCTTTATTTTGCATTGCCATCGCCATCGTCGCACTCTTTGTCTCTATCTCTCATTTTATTATGTTTCCATTTTGGTGTGACGATATTTTGGGCTTTTAGGCAAAAACAACCGAAAAGAGGAAGATGAGAAGAAAAGAAACGAAGCGATTTCGATGCCATCGCAGACAACATAACGCATATTGCCGGCAGAGAATACGTTGTAACTTTAACAATATGACACACGTTATATAATTTTATTTTTATTCGTTTTGCCAATGCCATACGTGAAGCTTCTTCGTATTTTTTTCCATACATATATTTGTTGTCTATGGTTGAAGCTCGCAACTCTCATGCTATCGTCACTTTTATTGGCCGTTGAATGAATAAATAAATGAAACATGATTCGTTTCACAAGCACAAAGTGTTGCAATCAACTGTGCTGTGACCGTTCTTTTTTTAAAACAATTCAAAATACGTGAAAAGAATGAGAGAGAGAGAGAGAGAGAGAGAGAGAGAGAGAGAGAGAGAGAGGGAGAAAGAACGGCAGCGATATAGAGTATCAAACGTCATTTTGGCCATTTGCAATTGAAACCAAGAATGAGTGTTCTTTGGTCATTTAACTGATGATACACAGTGACATGCCGAATGAATTACCACAATTAAAAACATAAAGTACTAAATGGCTATGCTAGTGGTTGTGGATTTGGAGCACGAGCACGACAACAATAACAAAAATACTTTTTTTTAATCGTTGTCACATAACCATGCATCACTCCGTATCACAACTAATTGAATTTTGTGTCTGTTGGAATCCAAAAGTGGAAAGGCAACAAAAAAAAAGAATGAAAATAACGCGAAGTGCTTAAAAATTTTATGCAAAAAACATAGAAAATTCCGCTGAGTAAATGCTCATTTTCATCTCGTTCGCGTTTGCGTTGACAAAAGCATACGCTCGTAATGGAGATGTGAGACAGTGAACACGAGAGCGTACAAGCAGTACAAACAATTAAAAATGACACTGAAACAAAACTGGTACGTGAATTTAAGCATTTGTTTGGCTTGATGTCTGTCTGAATGACTATAGCAATGAAATATCATTTTTCTTCGAAACACTTTTCTACCTTCTGTTCTTCTGACTTTCGTCATTTTTATGCGATGATGCAAATATGCATTGGCCGTACAAGAGACAAATGAGAGCCCAATTGGAAGTTTTCACAAAAAAAAGAACGATTTTCGCGACGTGCCACGTATTTTTCTTTAACATTTTGCAAGTGGTTTGAGTAGCTGAGAGTATGGATCAGACTTTTTTTCCTACGAATTGGCGCAGTTTCGTGGCCGACGTTCTTACATCGCACAAGTAATTTTAATCGATCTTTATGTGTTTTAGCTCATTTGTCGCTCGCTCAATGAATACTCAATTTTCAATGCGTGCATTTTATGACGTTCATCTTAGGTGAAATTGAAGTTGTAAAATAATTGGTTACTTCACTAAAAAGTCACAACAATACGCCGTTCCAGTTGTCACAACTTGATAAATACAAAGGACACAAATCTTACGAATTATCTTACGTTCGTACCGAATTCGCGAGTCTTTTCAGGTACCAATTGGTATGGTTTTATTATTAACACATATGAATCATATTACATACCTAAATATATGTCATCATCGTCAATATTCTGTTGATTGGCGAGTGTAGCGAGAGTTGCCATTGCTTTGCAAAATTCGATCAATGAGGGTGAATGAGGCAATACAGCCACACTCAACGGTGAACGAATTAATATCTCTCCCGACAACAACATTCAGGTGATACGCGGTCCGTTATTAGCTGCAATGAAAGAGACAAAAGAGAATTACATTTTACATATATTAACATGTCATTTTGAATTGGGATTGCATAAAATTATCAAGTAGGTAGTATCAGCACTAATATAAGCGTTAAAAGAGAGCGAGAAAAAAAGAAAATGAAAAGGTGATGACGTTAATTAGACTTGGGGTTGATTCGTGTCTTTAGCATCGCCATGCTTTCACCTGCCGGCATCATTTTTATGATACCACGTACTTTTATGAAAAACCATTCTACTCTAATAAACGAAAGAAAACAAACACACAAACTGAGAATGCATCGTAAAAAGTTTTCTACGTCTTCGAAAGGTTCATTTTTTCCTCTCATATAATGAGAACGAGTTCATGGAACTTTTGAGCAATGAGTACTAACTCCTTCAAATGGAACGATGAAGAACAACAAATTTTTCTTTTATCACATCAATGTTATCTATACACACAAAATGTGTTGTGTATGCCAGAGAATTCATCGATTCGCCTTGCACATGCTATATGTGATGCGATGAGTTGCGATTTCTTTTCATTTGAATGGCATTATCGTGATAAAACATCGACAGTGACATCATTCACTCTCTTTCTCTCGCATTCCATCCACATTTGTCCATGATCCTTCGTCGTAGTCGTCGCCGTCGTTTGTCGAACGACGCTTTGTCGCTTGTATGTGCTAAAAGCTCTTATTCTCTTCGTAGATATATATGAAGAAGGCGCTTTTGTTTTCACAACTCCATGGCTCAATGGCATTTTTTTTAATAACATCGCACAGATAATTTAAAGCATTGCTGCTCGATCTACAACTGCTGTTGCTCTATCGATGCTATATTGCATGATGTGCAAAGCAACATACACAGTACAAAGCATTTGCATATAATTCCAAATGTGCTGATTTTACCTCTAGGGCATTCAAAGCAACACATTTCAATCCATGACTTTACGCTTTGACTCAACTCTTTGCATACCAATTGTTCAATGGTTTTTTTGGTGTCTCCCTCTTTTTCGGTCTGCTCACAATTGAAATATGTAAAGCAAATTGTACTCACGCGTGAGACACACATATACAACATAATTTCACATTGACAGAGTTCATATCGACCATGGACTCACATGCATATATAAAGTTTTATTAAAAAAAACACACACAATTTAATTCGATCTACAGATTTCTTTTGTCTTCATTCTATCTGGGTTTTTTTTGTGAAATTTCGAGTTATTAAAAATATTTGGGAAGACATCTTGTGGAATTTCTTTTTTTATCCTTAAATTGAATGGGAAAAAATGGAAAATGATTATGCGCTACACAGGCGTACAGAGAATATAATAAGGGAATCAACCAAATGAAGGAATAATGAATTTTGAATGAGTTTGCAAAGCGTTGTGCTCATCGCGTAGTGATCATCGTTGCAGTAATAATTTTGACCGTAAATTACGAAAAAGCAAAAATGAAAAGACAAACGGATTTACTTCAAAAGTGGCGAACAAAAATTAGAGGAAAAACATCGTTAGTTCACGATGCATGCACCAATTTTATTAGCGATCGGCGCCCCTTTGTCTCAAATCGATCCGCCATCGCAATTTCAAAAGAAAAACAGCCACTGTAGAGTAAAAGTATATGCACGAAACGCCCCACTATACGAAATGTACTATACTCCGGTTTGATTTTTTTTAAATTTTATTTCTCTATTTCAGTTACTTTGTTCGTGCACTGCGCCACACAACTGAAAACAAAAACAAAATATTATTTTTCACGAAACTGTACTACTATGTTGATTTCTTTTTTAGTTTTATTTTCATTGAATGCGTCGCACTAGCCCGATATCGCGCAGTAAATAACATTGTAACATCCAGCACAGGGGCGATAGTATTTCACCTTTCCATCATTTATTTTCAAGCCGCGCTCTTTTTATGTGTGTGTGTGTGTGAATTAACTATGAAACTGTTTTATTCATGAATCAACTGAAGCTACTATCGATTTCAGCGAACATTCCGACCAACAAAGCTCAAATTAAATTCAACGTCATTTTTGCAACAATGCATACCGTTGAATGTATGCGCTCGAACGCTCGTGACAATTCCATGACAAATGAATGCCATCCGAATCGAAATGCAGCAAACAAGATGAATTCTGACAATTTAGCACGTAACAAGTGCGAAGTGCATGTTTTTAACGAGAGCGAATTCAAAAAGAACCAAATAACGTCGAGAGAGAGAGAGAAAAAACTTAAAAAACATCGTGGCAAGTTTATAATTAAACTTCACTTTGAATTCTGTCATTTGCATTGGTTGCGGGAAAAAGTATTTTTGAACTGAAAAAGTGAGCACTTGACAAGTACATAATATTAACCCGTTATATGGTTGTTTTGGTTTCATGTTACTTTTCGGCTGCATAAGCACATCTCCTGCTTCGTTTTTTTATCATTTGTTTTTTTTCTTCTTTTTTTATTTCTCTCATTCTCACATTACTTTCTGACAAACTACAATACGAGCAACGGTGCGCTCGAAAAATACGCATCAGCTCACCGACAATTTTCGAATTTTAAATTGGCCGGGGTTGTGAGTGAACTCCCTTTTTTACGTGTTTCAAGTTTTCCGGTTTCACGAATAAATTCGAAGAGTTTGGTGACATTTTATAGTTGATGTGACGGATGAAAAATGGCTTTAATTTATGCGATAGCAACCATGTAAAATAGATGAAGAAAAGAAAAGAAAAAAATAATATGATAAAGTAACCTGTTCGGTTAATGTGTGTTTTGTACTTTTACCAGAGGCGAGTGTGTTTGTGCGCGCATCGTTGTACATAGTATATCATTTATAAAGTGCGTATTTTTACGATGTGCATGAGGGGATAAAGTTGGCTTTTTTAACCCCTCATTCCATTCATGTATATCGAATATTTGTGTATGAGTGTAAAAAATAAGACGATGAAAAGTGTAGCGAATTGTCTGTTGTTTGTTAATTTATTCTTTTTCCCCCGCCTTCTACTGCCATGGAGGGCAAATATATGTAAATACCATTAAATGACTGTTCGCCGAAAAAGCCAAGTGCTTTAATTACATTGACAGTTGATGGCATTAGAATCCATAGCGCCAACTGGTGTAATTGCATTTTTAAACAATAATTAAATGCTACTTTAATTACAGCGCCAACAATATTACAAGAAGTTAAATTACATTTTGTTTTCGCAACATTTACCCTGTCATTAAGCGAAAAGTGGACACTTAAAAGATATTTCAATCGAATTGGCAAACGGAAACGACTTATCTTCGATACAAAAAAGAAGTCAATCGTTTCGTTTGAACCGAAGAAAAAGCGATTGTTGTGGACTGGGGAGGGGAAGAAAGCACAAAGGAAAAAAATTGTCCATGACTTAGTTCAAGGTTGACGAGTCGATAGTGCGCGACAAAATGCATTATTTTTTTTTCGGTAATCAAAGGAAACAATAATGTCGATGAAATTTAATTTGTGTGCTTGTTGAAATCAAGAAACAGCGAGAGAGAGAGAGAGAACCCAATGCTCAATATGATTTTGTTGTTTTTATATTAATGTTGTCGTCATTGCCCGTTCATCAGTCGTTAAACGAATGAGTCAATTGAAATGGTCGAATGTCACGTAATGTCGAGGCAAACCCACTATCAAACCACAAATTCTCCACTCATACCTTTGCTATACGGCGTAAATTTGTATGTTACTTATTTGTTTTGTTGTGTGTTTTTTGTTGTTGTTACTTTTGTCATTCGTGTGTGCATGGTTCGTTATACTTTTCGATTGGATTATTTGGTGGCGCCAGTCGAACGCACCTCTCCATTCCACTATTTCGATAAAAATGAAAGTTGTGCGTTGTGACTCGCATACGACAGAAAAAAGAGAAGTAAAATAAAACATGCTGATTTCAATCGTGTGTTGATATAGAATTGATTTGTGTGAACTGTTTTGGATGAAAATAAATTTAATTTGCTCGATGCGAGGTTAATCAAACTGACGATTTTTGTTTCTTTTGTTTGCCAACATGAAATTCGTTATCGGGCAAATGACTTTTGCTATTTCTTTTATGTCATTTCTAATTTATGCGAGCTGTGGAAGTGATTCAGTCGGTTAGGCACATTTTTCCGCAATTTAATTGGACCCAAAACATTGCCACATTACATATACATTGTAATCATTTTCCTTTTCGCGCATAACCAGAAAAAAGAATATTGCAGATATTTTCAGTGAAATGGCGGAAAATACAAGTAACTTTTCTTCATTTTATAGCGTATGCTTTTATATTGTTTTCTTCTTTTTTTCTTCATCGGTTTATTTGCTTCAGTCCAGCAACCAAAACAAAAATAACCCATTTTCCATGCATGTCGGCATGACTCATCCAGTTTACGACGTAGATTTTTCCCACTACCAATACAATACAATGCCAACAACAATAGAAAAGAGAAGAAAAACGACGTTGTATGAGCAACGAAGCAGCAGCAGCCGCACAAGAACTTTTGCCTTTTAGTGTAATTGTGCAAAAGCAAAATGTTTGACTCTGTGTCCGATTGCTATCCTATCATTTATGCAAACGCTCATATCTGACTCGATATTCTTTGTTCGGCGTTGCAGCGCCAAAGAGCTTTTCGTTTGTCTACACAAGAAACACACAACAACAACAATAACATAAACATTGTGGGAAAAAAAAGAATATAGTATGTGCTTGGTTTTGCCATATCTCTACTCTGCTCTGCTCCTGTCACTGTCTTGTCTCAATGGCTTGACATTCGAAAAGCAAGTATATTGACACAGTGGTTGTGTACATTCGAAAATTTCGGTGAATCACACATACACATTTCTCATGAGAGACGAGAATGTATGCCGCACTCATTAAGTTAAGAATTCAGTTTTATTATGAACAGCATGTCGAGTATTCTTCGACGATGAGAGCATACTTTAGATATGCTTGTGTTCATAGCCAATATATGTGTTCGTCTTTTTTCGACTTGTTCCTCGTTTCGTTTTAAG